TCTCCTTCTCCTTCTCCTTCTCCTTCTCCTCCTTCTCTCTGTAGGTGTGCCCTTCCTATTCCAAATCGACGAACTTCGACGACGACGAGGAGGAGGAGGAGGAGGAGGAGGTCAAATAACCCCAATATCTAAGGACCATCAATTGAACATCTCGAGCAGGGTTCGCAATCCTTCGTTGGCAGGCTGTGGTGAGTTAGAGTCGGTGGAAAACCGTGTTTCTACGACATTACCCCTGTGGATGAGTTGTGAGGGCAGAACAGTTTGGTTGGAGGAGATAACGTAGGATCCAGCATGGCACTGCCGCGAGTATGAACTCACAGTTCTGACCTGAGTGTGTGCATGCGAAGGCATCGAAACGGTAGAAACTTGAGAGGGTGGGATTGTGTGGGATCTGATTTCTTCGTATTGACCTGCTGCAGCATCATGCTGACTTCTTCCCTTTACCTGGCTTCGTCTTAAAACTGCCTTCAAACCCCGGTCTCTTGACTTTCGGTTTCTTCCCAGCTCCACCACCACTTCCTTTCTTCTTGTTCTTTCCACCGCCGCCCTTCTCCTCCCTCCTCTTCGAGAGATTCTGTTCTCTCCTCCTCTGCTTCATCTCCTGACTCTTCGCTACACCCTCTATCCTGCCTTGCCACTCCTTCTCACTCTTCTTCTTCTCTCCTTCTTGTCTCTTTAGTGCTTTTTTCAGTAGGCTCGTGTCATCTCTGACTCGCTCGCCATGGGCTTTCTTCTTCGCGTTCAACCATATGTCTTTTTGCTGTATGTCGGCTCGTTTGGCTTCGTCTAAGCCGGATAAGCGGGATGCTTTGTTTTGGGCTGCTTGGAGCGCGGTGTTGGCATCTGATGGTCCTTTCTTCTTTGGTGGGCCCAGTAGGGAGGATAGACTCGAGTCGGCCTGTGTTCCATCGCCGAAGGCCACCCGACCGAAGCTAAAGTTGTTGCCTGGCTCCATGGGTGAGCGAGGAGATGCGATCAGCGAGCCAGATCCACCAGGAGAAAATCGTTTAGCAATCTCTTCTTCTTGTTTTCGTATCTCCTCTTCCTTGGCTTTCCGCCGGAGCTCCTTTTTATGAGCTCGACGCTCCTCATCCTTGCGTCGACGAGACTCGAGGAGTTCTTGTCGGTTACGAGGTGGACGTCCATCTGGACCATCTGCTTTGCGCTCGGCGCGGAGAGCACTTATCCGGGCTTCGAGACGTTGCTTCGGGGTAAGTGCAGATGGGTCGACGGGTGGTGGAATTGGTTGAGCGAGATTGATTGTGGTAGACTTTGGTGTTATCGGGTGGTCTGATGGAGGTAAAATGGAAGAGATGGACGAGGTCCCAGAATGAAGATGTGGAGACTGCATCGGCGATGTGATTTCGGGAGATGGAGAAGCTGTCGACTGTCGGTCACCTGTAGTATTTATATTCTTCTCGGCAATGTCAACAGCATCAACCAATTCCAGATCCTCCTCTCCATCCCCCATCTCATCAAGTCCACCATTAATCCCACCGTCCGGTTCGTTAGATAAGGCCGCCTCTTTTTGTGCCTTCTTTCTTTCCGCCTTCTGCTGTGCCTTCAGCTTTCTGGCCTGGCTTCTCTGCTTCTTTGCAGCTTTCTTCTCCGCCTTCCGCCGTTTTTGATCCTCGACTGACGTTCCATTCTCTTTGTTATCAGCTCCATGCTCGGCGTTTGACTGTTCCTTGCTGGTTTTTCTCCTTTTCTGTTGTTGATCATGTAGCTTAAGGCCTTCTCTCTGCTTTTCTGTTGGCCCGTCGTCGTCATTTTCGCCTTCCTCTTCTCGTTTTCTTTTCGACGCAGCAGCGGCTCGTTCGTCCATAACATCTTTTGCACTCTTCGCATTGTCTGGATCTAATTTCGCCATCCTTGCTGCTCGCTTTTGCTCTGGGGTTTGTTTCTTACGTTGCCATTGGTCCTGGATTAATGTCAACAAGTCTTCAAAGCACCTTAGGTTCGTAAGGACACTGACACTAACGTCTTCGCCGTAGTAGAGTTTGGCTGGTATCAGAGAAAGTAAGGAATTGAAGGCGTCAGCATGACTTCGGAGCCGTTCCTGAAGATCTGTAAGTCTTGCCATCGTCGAATGCGCAGCTTATCAAACCTCTAGTTCGTCGGGCATCTTGTCCGGCTCTTATATCCGAGGTGTTGCAGTTTGTTCTGAGCATTTATGATGTCAGGGAGATGGGTGTTCCTCCTCGATTCTGATTCTGCACAGCCGATGAATGGATTTGACAATTCATAGTGAATGTGGGGTCCTTATCCTGCGAAATCTTGGCGGTTAAACTTTCTGCAACATCTACCTGACATGGATCAGTGCGAAGGTGAGCCAAACAGTAGTCCGGGATACGTGGACGGAGTGTGCTTTGTCTTGCAGTTTATACAAGACCTACTCGAAGCTCAAAACGATGTTTCTCTATTTCCGATGGCTTTTTCAAAGCTCCTATGATACCGCTATAAAGGGGCTGCTCATTCTCTACTTGGAGTTCACCGTTCCTCCCCCTACCTGCGAGACGACTATCATCTTCAGTCAACCGGCTGTCTCTATTTTGCTCGTCGTATTCTCTCTCTTCAATCTTCCTCTCCTCCTGCATTATTTTCTTCCTATCATCATTGCCATAGGTAGGAAGAAGGTCACTAAGTTGGAGCTGATTACTACTCGCACCATCCCACGGTGGAGATATGAACATATGTCTCATCTTTATTGTCATTTGGCCCTAACCCTGGGATCAAGGACAATTGTCCTAGTTCTTCCATAGACTGGCGGAATCAATGACTTAATTGTAGTACAATTGCAATACAGGTTAAAGTCTTCAACGTCTTGTTACAACGAAAACGACAGAGACATTGCTGTTGTACTGGAACAGAAGAGTAGCCTGTTTGGCGGAGAGCTCACCTGAAGGGTACGGGCGCTCTACAGGGCCGAAAGGCCAAAATCTAGATGCTTATGGTTAAGGACTAGCCTATGGTGGTTCGGTTTTTAAGAGCACCCACCGATTCTTGACTCTTGGCATGCTGCAAGGCCCCGCAGGCCCGAAGCTGCGGATAGAAAGGACAACCTGAGCTATTGTCGTGATTGAATAAAATGTCGTCGATCTAAGTTCTCTGAAGTTAGTGAAAGCGCATGCAACCCTCCTTGAACTCCTTTGACCATATACCTCCAAGGGTAGCGACTACGCTTATCTCTTGCGTGGATCTACGGGGACATTCTCGTTGCTCCTCCACCCAAGCCAGAGATTGGATTCTCGTCGTGGGCTTGCCAGTTTGGGAACCAGACTGCACCACAATACTCAGCCGGTTCTGAGATCAGGCTTCCACGGAACCAGAGGCCGACGGAGAGTGGAGACCAGCATAAGGAGGACCCTTGAAACCACCAACCAACCAATATATGATCTCCAGCCGTGTCCGCCCTCAGGCCTGGCGCACAGCCTTCCTCTCCTTCACATCGAATTATAATCCTCTTCGCGAATGGCTTCTACAGGTGGGTTGACACGTCGGAGAGGGGGGGCTACTGTACATGAAGATGGCGACGAGTCTCCCAGCAGCAGGGTGGCATCGCCTGCTCCAAAACAACAACAGCCGGAAAGAGGGGTTGAGACTAGTTACAGTAATGGCGAGAATGGGCACAAGATCGCATTTGACCCCCGAGACATCAGTGAGAGTGTGGAGAGGGGTAAACAGCCAAAGTTGACGCTCATGGAGGAGATACTATTGCTGGGCTTGAAGGATAAACAGGTAGGCCTGTCAGGCGGTCCAATGATCAATTGTGCAACCTGACTGGTGCGCAAACAGGGATATCTATCGTTCTGGAATGACAACATTTCCTACGCGCTTCGGGGCTGCATTGTCATCGAACTCGCTTTCAGAGGTCGAGTGAGCATGCAAAAAGATTCCTCAAGAAGGAGGTTTCCCCTGTCAGACCGAATAATCGAAGTAATCGACGACACATTGACTGGAGAGGTATTGCTGGACGAAGCTCTTAAAATGATGAAGTCGAGTGAGAAAATGAGCGTCAGTTCGTGGATAGATCTCATGAGTGGTACCATCAGACATCTCCCTTCCCAACGTCCTCTTCGCTCACGAACATCAAATAGGAGAAACATGGAACCTCATGAAAATCGGGTACCAACTGAAACAGGTGCGAGAGCGTCTCGCCAAAGGCCTAGTAGATAAAGGTATTCTGCGTACCGAAAAGCGCAACTTCCTCCTCTTCGACATGGCCACCCACCCCGTTGTCGACGCCGCCGCAAAAGATGAGATCCGCAAACGCGTTCGTAACGTCTGTTCAAACCGTACTGTTGTTCTCCCCCCATCGCAATTCCTCCCCGAAGAACTCGAATTCAGATATCTGAGGACCATCAGCATGGTGTGTGCGTCTTATGCAGCAAATGTGCTGGAGAATGCGCTGGTGACCATGAGTCATGAGGCGAGAGAGAGAGCATTCGCTCAAGTTGATGAGCTATTAGCGGAGTACAGTCAATGGCCTTTTGGGAAGAGAGCTGGTGGGCAGCAAGGAATAGGAACCAATATTGGGCAGGCTATTGCCGAGGAGGTTGAACGGGGCAAGGACAAGGAATTACAGCTTGAGGTATGTACTGTCCCTCCATTTTCCTCTTTTTCCAGGCCTCCAGCGCTGAGGCCTCTTGTGACAGGTTGTTGCTGCATGTTTGAGCGTTTTTACCAGGCTTGATTCTCTACTCTGAGCGATTACAATTTCCTGTGGTTGAGCTGGAAGATTGTTCTATTACCACTAACCGGACTTCGACACTCCACCGCCTCTCATGCATTACTTATGTTGCAGCCATTCCAATAACCGACTCTCATCACGTATCCACAATGGAGTCAAAGTGGACTTCTTTCACCCAATCGACACTACGCCTCACTGTAAAAAGCGAAACGCGAAACAGAAGCGCCCTTAGCATACTCGCCGCGCGCGAAAGCCCGTCGGAATGATATTACATGACAGATTCTGGGCAGGACTTGAAATTCCCAGCTTCGAGAGATGTGCTGTACTCCAGCAACCATTTACAAATGAAATTCATAGCATGTGTGGGTTGAAAATAGTTTCAGCGTCACCAAGGACAAGGTTCTCTACTACACTCGTAGAAGCGGATTCAATGCTTGGTCCAACTACTATTTCACCGTCCAGACACACCTCAACGCTTGACGAGGTTAGAAACCCGCATTGACTGATGCCCAAAAAACAAACGCTGTTCACTTTCATTCTTACCCATCACCCGTCAACGGTAGAAGCGTTGGGTTTCCGCTTTGGCCTCTTTAACCTCTATGCTCTTCAGCATTCATCTTACATGGGAGCACATCACTGTCCCACTCCGTCAAAACCAGATGCATCCTACTCCTATCACCGTGATCAGCAAAATACATCATCTTATCTCTACGTGCCAGTCCGAGAAAGCTCTTGTCCTCTTTACTAGGGGGTCGTCTTCTCTTCTCTTCCTTCTATCTCTTTTCCTATTGTATCCATCCAAAAGCACATATCCTCCGCCTCCTCAGGATAGTGGACCGGATCACGGCTCAAAGGGGCAAAGTGACAAACTAGAAGCGACTGTTTTCTCGAAGAGGGTTGTTGAATTCAATATCACTAGTAGAGAACGGCTTATTTTCCCTTCCCTTTTCTTCAGACCTGCTCTACTAATGGGAGACGATTGGTCCTCCAACAGAGATTGGGGATTCAGAAGGGGGGGGGGATGTGAGTATGAGGACTTCTTTTCAGGCTGCGAAGATAGAATAGGAAACGCTAACAATGACAAGAAGGAAGAGCTAGGTAGCGTGCGCGTGATCACTCGCGAGCTGGCATCCATCAAGTCTCGATCCAGATCCAGATTCAGCGGCTCGATCAGGAAACGCTTCAGCTATCGCTGCGTTGTACATTGAGTCCTCTTTTTTTTATTTCGCACAAAGAACTGGAGAGATCGACATCTGTTCTTGGAGTTGGCGATGGATTGGATGAGTAGGTCATGCTTCGGGGATTGGTGGTGATTGCTTTACAGATACGGAGTTGGACTTGTCAGATGGTGGAATAATTTGGTACTGTATGCAAGAGACGAAATGATCGAATCAATTTAAATCAGGCGGTCTACTGGCACTTGTGGAGAGGAGAGTCTGAAGGGATGAAGAGGCAGAGGAACATTCGAGATTAAGTATGGGAGCACGGCATATGCAGGTACGACTAATTGCTGCATTCTGGACTGATTGTCTTCCTTGTGACAGGGGAAACTGGGTGCCGTGTGTCGGCGGAGATCTGATGATTGCTGTTTCGGATGAAGAAGTGGTTTGTGTTCAAGGCAGGAAGCGCTGATATTTGTAACCAGAGTTCTGGAGACAGCAAGCTGCATGCCTGGTGTGCTTAAAGACTGTCGACCATTCAGTGCTTATTCCTGGGCTAAACAGAAAACGAGACCAAGGAAAAATTACCCTCGGGCTGATGACTGGTGTATACGTAGTGACCTCTGAAGCTCTTTATTTTTCTCTAGCCATGGATTTGGGCTGTATTGGACCTGCCTGACGATACAAAAGGTAATCTCGGCTTTCGTAGGGCGAATCAACCGTGGCTCCACTCAAGGCTGAATCGCTTCATACATGAGCCAACGTCTCTCGTCCCAGCTCAACTCATCACTGCTCGAATCCGACCGCACAATCGCTCTCCTAGCTGGAGTTGTCGCTCTTTCTGGCGTCGAGGACGAATACAACGTCGAGACATCTTTTCCCTTGGTTTCCGGACCCTCAGGTACGCCCCTTTCCCTCAGCAGCTGTACCATACCACCGTGCTTGTTGTTCCATGCACACTCCACCAACGTCATACCTGCATGACCCTTCACGGTAGCGTCGGCTCCCTTCTCGAGCAGCAACTCAACCATTCGGGGGAAATTATTCCTGACCGCCTCGTATAGCGGCGTGCTGATCCTCTCTCTACGTGACCGCCTATGCATGAGTGCGTTCCAATCGTATCTCTCATTGACGTCCGCGCCATACTCTTCGATTAGCATTCTGGCGAAACTTACAGTTTGCTCCTTTCGTTGCTGGTCGGCTGCCAGGTTGGGGAGGAGACAAGTTCCCTTGATGGAGGCTCCACGGCCGAGGAATTCGAGGATCAGGCGCTTCTGGTCAATCCAGATGGGAATTTCTTGCGTGTCGTGGCCTTCGTAGTAGTGCAGTTCATCGGCCACACGAATTCGGTCTGAGGCGACGGAGAGGAGGGTGTACGCGTTGTCGTATTTGTGATACTGTAATGCTGACGTGATAAGTAAAATCCGCAGCTCAAAGAGGGTTGAAAGAGTGAGGTTGGCATACCTTTACTTCATCCACGTCGAATGATCCTCTCTGTTCAAGGATTCTCTCGATGAGCTCCCACCTTCCGATCCTTACTGCCCACATCAATGCATCACCTTCTCCCCCGAAGACTTTCTTGACATCCAGGCCAAGATTTAAGAATAGTCTTAGGATATCTACATCGGTTCTTTCACCCTGAATGGCACGGCTGATGACATTCGGAGCAATGGCGTTTACATTGACCTCCTTTTGGGTGAGTTGCCGTACCCTGCCCACATCAATCTTAAAAAGATTCTCAATGGCGCAGACACGATGACAGGAAATGGCGTATTCAAGTGCACGAGTAAATGTCTTTTGCTGTGATCGACCCAGTAGATAAGCTCTTTCGAACTCTATAAGCAGATCTTCAGGATCGTAACAGGCGGCGTTGTAGATAGGTTCCACCACGGACACCACTGGTACATCTGAATTTGAAGCCAAGGGGGAGGCTTGTAGGCTGTCAGTAAGCAGAATTCCCAACGGCCTGTACCCATGATGAGCGGTGAACATACAGAATACGGGGATGCTGGGAATATCTTTTCCGTGACTACGAGACATTATGAATTTTGACGAAGCAAAATGGAAAGCAAAAGAACGCCTGCTGCCGCAGATTTCATGAATTGCTGGAAGCCTTAAGACTGCCACCAACGTTGTTTCCCTGAATGATTGTGGTGGCTTAGGAGTGTGGGTAGTGAAAGGGATGAGACGTATGATATGCAAGGAAATTTTTCAGCTTGAATGATGGTCGTATGTAAGTCAGAGCAAGGGGAGTGACGCATTGAGAGTGCACTGGGTGCGAAAGGAATGAGATCTCGTGAGATGATCACCATATGAAGTTGAAAGCCTTGCGAGTCAAGCGGCCAGAAGTTTCCTGGTCCAATGGCACCTTAGGCCCCCAGCCTGATGGGCAGTTCAAAATTATCTACGGCCAAGAACAAGATGGATGGAAGATGGTTCAAGTTGCCTGGTTGTTCAATGCAAATAAATCAAGACGCTTTCCATACAGTCTCCAGAAGTTGGATTTAGTTTATGACACCAACACAAGAGGTCAAATCGGTGCCATATTTTACAAGTTGTTGCCCAAATACCGAGTGATAGGTCAATCACCTCAACTGCCACCCTCTCTTGCCTCCACTCGTATGGTACTCATATCCTCTAGCGAATCTAGCATCTCTCTGACCTTTTTCATATTATATGTGGCTTTCCCCACTTTTGCCGCTTGCATCCTCTGCTGCTGCCCTTCTGCACCAGCATTTCCTAATACCCCTGCAATCAGCATGATGGATCTGATCGAGTCGTCATTGGCTGGTATTGGATATGTGACCCGACTGGCATCGGCATCCGTATCGATCACCCCAATTGTAGGCACGGTGTGGAGACCACATTCGTGCAAGCAAACCTCATTCTCTAATGGATTGAAACAGACAACAAGATCTGGCTTCACCACTGGATGCCCAGACGGACCATTCAGAAGTATTGTCATGTCTCGGAGTTCTTTGTCTTGCACATCTACCACCTTCAATTCACAATTACCCAAGATCTGTTGTCCATTGGTCAAGCATCCAGGAACCCATCGATCGAAAATATGATATCCACCTGCCATCTTCGCAGCTTTGACGACTATCTGTTCTTGGTTGTCTCTTGTGCCAACAAACAGTATTATTCCACCTCTCCGTGCCACTTCTTGCACCACTCTCGCTGCTCGACGGAGATAAGCATAAGTGGCGTCAAGAGAGATAATATGGATGCCATCGCGTATCCCGAAAATGTAGCTACTATTCCGAGGGTTCCACAACGATGTAGCATGTCCCAGGTGTGTTTGCGCGGCCATCAGCATCGGAAGGGTCAATTCGGAAGCGGTTGGAGGATTTTTGAAAGCTAGCCTTGGGTCATATGTAACCAGCAACGAGCTACCTTTTTTGGCCACTTGTTTGAGCTGTTCTTGTTTCTTGTCGTAAGCACGTTTGCTCGTGAATTGTTCCCCTGGGGGAACCGACGCAATACTTTTTTTGGTCGATTGGCTTGGGGAAAAGGTAGATTGGTCTGGTAAGTCGAATGCGGTGGATAGACGCTCTGAGATTTTGGCAAATATCTCCGTTCGAAGGTCCCTCTGGTTCTTTTCGAGGTCTTTGGTTCGCTTCTCAATCGAGGCCAGCATTTTCGATGCTTCTGATAAGCTGGTCTCTGTGGCATATTGTCGAGATGACAGAAATTTGCTTGAAGCATGAACTGCGCTGCGGCCTGCGTACATTACTTTAGTGATTCATTCTCTCGGAAGATACAGGTGAATTACCATGCCGCGCGCACGTCTGTCTGACAGCCATTGTACTTAGTGAGGCGAGGAGTTCCAAGTGAGATCAGTAATTGAAAGCTAGGTTGAAGCTTCGATTTGAAGCAGTGTTTAGTCTTGGCAGCGAAATTCATTGCATACTAACTAACTAGTATAGTAGATTCATCTGGGATGGCGCATTCTTCTCCAAAGCACTCATCCAACAGCGTATCTTGCAAAGTGAAGAACGTCTCCACCATTGGATCCTGTCTGAGAAAATACATGAGCCCCGCTTGTGGAGTAGTAAGAATTCCCAAAAGCACGGGGGCCACCCAGTGCCTATTTCATCACGGCATGGGGGACGCGTGGTATGGCTTGCGAATTACATGGCCATAATGATAAGCAGCGTCGCCAGGTCAGAGCAGGAAGCAGCAGGAATTGAAACTATGCTATTAATCATTATCTCATCTATTGACATGTAAGATGCGGATACCTGCGAATGCCGAGATATATAAGGACAATGAACTCCTTCTGGCATTGAGAAACAAAACAAGGGTATCAAGACCTCGAAGTAGCGATGAGACAACTTCACCGCCACGAAACGAGAAGAAGAACAGCGTCAAAGTCCTCCAGTGACAGATCATCACCAACAGCTCCGTACCACTCGCAACTTCCACTTCTCACTTAGAGAATTGCATTTGCCTTCTGCTCCATGCCCGCCGATCGGTCTCCCGCGCTTGGTCCGGATAAGACGCTTGCTTCGTGTCCTACGCCTGCTCACACCTCACCACTGATGATGTCGTCCCAAATGATTTCTTGCTGATCGCCTTCTGCTCTCGATGCTGAGGAGCTGATCACCACTCTTTGATGTCTGGTGTTGTAAAAATAGCTACCATGGTTGGTGCCATGGCTGGCGAGGGTGCCGCTGCTATGACGGTCACCCTCGCCGCCTATATTACTGCGATTGTCGTTCCCACTGGGAGGCATCAAGTCAGCATCAACGATCCTCGTGATTGTAGTCAAGAGGTTGTCATACTCATATTCGCTGTGGGTGGTTTGACCTCTTTCAATGGATGTTCGATTCGCGAACACTTCGAGCATGGTTTTTTGATATCGAAGTGGCGCATTAGGTGGAGCAGGCGTCGTTCGTAGTGGTTGTTGTTGCTATTGCTGTTAAACTTTTGGAAGATTCAACGCAAAATCTTTAATAAAGATCTTGTGTAGATCAAGATATTTATTAAAGATGGAGAGAAAAAAGAGAGACTTGTGGAGAAGTGGAAACCTTAAGTAGCAGGCAACAAATGGGTTACTACCGGGGGGGCCTGAAGTAATGCTAGCTCAGCGCTAGTATTTTTACATGTAAACCAACTTGGTACAGAACGGCTATGCTCAAAAGAAGTTAGCTGTGATGATTTAACTCCTCGGAATGGAGGCATAACGAATAAGCTTTAAAGCGACGAATGATAATGCTATGTTATCGTATTAAGAACTAGCTGCTGGCCCATCACATGTACGAGGTGCCGCCCAGAAGTAATGAGATTTCGCCCTAGAGGGTATAGCGTGTAGACCAGGGTATTCGACCAATCAGAGGCCGTAGAGTCTCTCGTTTGGAGCTGAATTTGCTCTCTCTCGTTGCTATAGCTATCTCTGTACATATTTATAGATCGTTTGGAGCTCTGTGTGCAGCGTGAGGGTAATAACAACTTTCGTGGATGAGAAATATACAATTTGAGTGGTGTATAAAAGACGTAATTAATACCAAAACACTAAGGATTCTGGTGTACTAATACATGAGATAGCGTAATATGTAGTACGAGAAGCTTGTATCAAACTAATCCCAATGCAGTATCTCATTACTTCTGGGCGGCACCTCGTATTCAATTGAGCCATGGATGTGCTTCCTTTTCAGCTGGTGCAGAACTTTCGAGCTCTAAAATTCAGCATCCAACCACGTCAGCTTTCTGACACCGGTTGCATTGCTAGCTGCCGATGATACCACAATTACTTTCCACAGGCCGCTAATTGGCCATCTACAGCATTCATGCAGCAGGATCACGAAGTTCCACCTAACCTGACTAACTGACTTGTGCAACACTTCCTTATCCACCACATATTACTCGGTGCCGCCGATAAGTGGGTCATGGCGTAACAGATCTCTCCCTATATAGCATAGTGTGCATGAGTGCCAAGCTCCAATTGGGAATGGCTATGGAACAGACTCCATCCTCCCATAATCTACTGACATGATAAATTTGGCTCAAACTTTGACAGTATCCCCTATGTATCTTGTTAAGATATGTCTATAGTTGATTTACTGGTGAGGGTCGATGCATAAGGTTCAGGAAGGATAACGCCAAGAGTCTAAACCTGTATAGAAAGGGACGCACTTTTCGGCGGCACCGAGTACGTAGTATGCCGATAGCTCTGTTCCTACCAAATTTTCAAGCCACCAATTTTAGCTCGCTGCCATTCCACAAATGTTTATCAAAACCAACACAGAGATAGGTTGAATGGCCAGAACTCAGCAATATTTGTTTACATAACGTCTGTCACAGCTACTTTACTTAATTTCATCCCCAAGTAACACCAGCAATGCTCAGGACAGAAATGTACTCTTAGACCTAAAACGCCAAGAAATTTCTGTTGCGAATGAGGGGGTGTTGCCTAGGCCGGTGATCCAGGTCATCTCAGCTTGGAGTGTTCTGCAGGTAAGCCAATCACTTCCTGCAAGTGATTTGTGTGGGTTCAGATGCATGGGATTCGCAAATGCACAGCCGCTCCCAACGGCCTCCAAACCCAAAACTTCGTTTAGGGCCACCTCGAAATGTTTCATCCGCAGCTCACACAGCCTCACCATTACTTTTTTCGATCGAATGCTGGAAAAGCGATCATTAATGTGGGGACACCACGAAATTCCAAGTCGCTTGTTTCTTGCAGCCTCTTAATCCATCTTGGTGGGCACAAAGTGCTTTTACCACTATTTAGGGATGATTGTCGTCTAGTTTGCGTGACAGTCAAATAATATCTAGTGAAAGCAAAGTTGTTGGGTGTATATTTTTAATTCACTGAGAAAAGAAGTGATCATTTTTAATTGCTCGGATAGGGAGTAGATCCTCAAAAATTATGACACGCTTCTAGCAGATGTAATCTTGATCTTTTGTGTTTGAAAGTGTATCCGTACCTCTCACGCAGGTGTTCTGCCTACCTGCACTTACCGAGGTTGGAGATGGCCAAGTAAGATCCCGACTTGACTACGTTTCTTCCCCGATTTGCCTGTTATGCGTTTCTCTTATCATACTAACCACTCATGTCATTCTCGGGGGTTCGAACAGGAACCCTTTGTCCGTTTAGGACATGGTTGATATGTATGATTCTAGGCCGAATATTTCGACACATTCGCCAGTCAGCAAACTCCTTAACCTCATCTACAGATACTCTGTCTTCGCAATACAACCAACGTACAAAATACACAACCTCGTACGACAGCGCTTGATACCGTCAACGTGCGCTACCTCAAGAACCATAAAGTCAATATCCCAGCCTTGCCTGAGCACGTCGAGGCAAGAAAGAACGTGGTATGGTAGCTGGAAAGCTCGAGAATGAACTCAGAGCTTCACGCCAGCACCAATTATTCCCAATGTGCTTAGCCTGGGGCATTCGATGGCTTCCTACTGATACAGTATACAAGCATTACGTCTACCCGCACCGTATGTGGAATACACCAACACAGCGGCAGTATCCGGACGAAATGGCCTTTGCTTTACCGGAGGTATTCACAGTCCAAAGAAGGACCACACCATCCAAACAATAATGCTGAATAACACCAAGGTAATTAACAAGGCAAAGCTTATGGTTGCTTCGCAGCCTTTACATTTCGGAAGATTAGCTTGAATTGATCATACATGCAATACAATGGTCGAGAGTTTGATGTCTGCTCTGGTAGCATCTTAGTGCAAGAAGAGTGAACACCCCATCCACATAACTCCTATTCAACACCCACCCAAAAATCAAGCGATATAAGTAAAATAGGAATATTGCAGCTCTGAGCGTTTGTTCAAGTCCGCTTTCCAGACTATTGGTAGTGAGGAGAGGTCTCAAGGGGTATTTCGCAGTGGAGCAAACGTTCGTCCATCCGGTGGTAAAGCACCGTTCCGTATGAGAAACCTTCGATTTGCAATCTACCATCCAGTAATAGAGCTTGAGGAAGGCGATGATATTTCCATTTAATTTATTCTCTGTGCAACAAGCCCTCAGATCAAAACACTTGTATATACATGCCAGCCAACAGATCCTGTCAAGTTTGAGTGCTAGACATCCAGTTAAGCTGCAAAAAGGAAGGCAAAGGCTTTACCTATTGGCTTGTCACTCGAATGAGACGAAAATAAATCAAAAATATCAACACGCTTGTAGATGAACTGCGCAGGCTTGCCCTCTGCACTGAACAGGAGAACAGCTGATAAAGCTCTGCCATCCTGTCAACTTCACCGCCGGCTATGGTAGGAATTTAAGCAAAATAAATCGGTTCTGAAAAACAAAAATAAAGAGTAGCTTTGTCTGGTTTCGATCCAGAGTCTATTATGATTAGCCTGAGTCAACAGGAAAGTACTGTGTTATGTCCATACCCTCCGGGTTATGAGCCCGGCGCGCTTCCGCTGCGCCACAAAGCTGATTTGTTAGAATTATTTCATAATAACTAATATAAAGTTTTATTAAATCAGAACACATCACCCTGCTTTCTTAAACCATGAATCTCAATTGATGGAGATATGGAGTGTCATTTTGTCCTTTGATGCTTACAGGCCGAACGATCTCTACTCCTCCAAAAACTCAGTAGCCAATCAGAAGCTCTACATCGGATGCTATTTGATTATCATTGTTGCTGTGATGATCTCTTTCACAATAACTTGCACAATTCTGATTTTAGTAACCGGTCTCACTACCCTTCACGATAGCCCTGATTCATGCACCTTCTCCTCCTAATCACCATCGACAAGTAAATTTTCTTCTGCTTGTCGTGGCGCTGGTTGATAGAGGAATACTACCGCTGCTAGAGCACCCAGCATTAATCCATGTAGTAAGAAAGCAGCTATAAACGTCGAAGATAGAGGTAGACATAGGATCGATATGGAAAATCAGATGGTATGCTTCCAGCGCTTCACGGGGCCTTTTCCTGTGGCGGAGGGTGGGAAGGAGAAGGGGTATTGTAGCAGCATTTACTACACTTCCTCCTAGACGACATCAAATATCGCGATTTTGACGGGAGTGAAGATCGACGACAAGGTAGTGCTGCTGCTGCTGCTAATTCAGGAGGATCGGAGGTGCAAAAGCAGCTCATTACTCTGGGTGGCTGGAAGAGCGTAGAAGATTATTTATGGCTCAGGAAATTGACGGTTATGGCGGCGAAGACGAAGGGGAGGGATGGATATTGGGAAGCTGGGTCAGCAGGGAGGGTTAGTCCGGTTGTGGTGGGTGAGAAGGTGGTGTGAGGAGGAGGATTGCTTGAGATATTTGAAAGTGAAGCGGAAGGAAGGATCAGATTTGAGCCGGGAATGGAACTGACGCGAGGTAGTCTTTCTTGCAGGCACGAGATAATTGAGAGCAGGAGTGAGGTTGAGATGAAGATAGAAAGCCGGATGTACCCTCCAATAAGAAGTGCGATTCGCAGCTCAGAGCCTGCTACTGACCACTTTTTGTGCTCCTCATCTGGATCACATCCAAAATTCAACAAATATCTTCCACTTTCTCCTTCTCAGCCTCCTCACCCAGGTCAATCTTTAACCTTCTGTCAAATAATTCCTCCAGCATGGCCCAACACACTCCACTAACCCTCGGGTCGTACCTCCCCTTACTCAGCTCATCGCGGATAAAAGCATGCTGAGCACCAGCAATCTCATAGAAACTGAACTCCACTCCCGCCTCATGCAGTGTCTTGCGGATCAGATCCCTTCCCTCGCCCGGGACATGATTATCGCGTTTCCCAAAGATCATGACCAACTCTCCACGAATATCCTTGGTGCGCTGCAGAGAATCATCGGATTTCCCAGCACCAAGGGAGTGAGAATGAATGTCCGTAGCGAAATAGCAGACTGCTGCTTTTATGTGAGGAGAGAAAGCGCAGCGGTATGCGAGATGGCCACCTAAGCACATTCCTGTAGCACCTATTCTACCTGTGCAGGTCGGCAATTCGAGGAGGGTATCGATTGCGAGGTCGGCATCTTCGTCGTAGGCAGATAGAGTTTTCGTGATTTTATACTCGTTGCCGGCGTCGGTGCCTGGGACGTCGTAAGCGAGGGGTTCCGGACCGATGAATTCGTGGTAGGACGAGGGGGCTGCAACGATGTAGCCGCTGCCGGCTAGGAGGCGAGAGAAGCGGGAGACAGGGCCAGTTACTGGGGGAACTTTAGTTAACATGGGTTGGAAGGGAATGTAGGAAGGCTTTTGCAATTAAAAATTTCTTGTGCAAAAAGAGCATCGTGTTTGTCCGCCCAGAGGAAGAGGTAAGCGTCGTCTCCCTTTCTTACCTTGATAGATCTCGCTGAACACCACTACTCCAGGAAACTTGGCCTTAGGATAGCCTGGTATTGATGGATGGAAGAGGAAGATGCCTTTGACGCTGTCTCAGTCTGCGGCAATTGACCTGGTGTTGAGGGCAGAGGATGGCGTACGCATCGTGCCATCTCCCCCAGCTTTGGTAGGCACATCGACATACGATTCCTGTATCAGCATCTTGGGCAATTCCTCGCTCGCAGGACGGTGGGTTTAGAGGTGGGGAATTGTCCGAAGAGTTGGGCAGCTGTAGCAGAGTTCGGTGCCGGTTGCTCCGTACTGTGTATCTTATCCCTAGTGGCCACGCTAACCAACCTGTAATTACCAAATGCTACGGAGTACTACTAGTCATTCCACGAACAGCTTTATCCACCAATGAGGCTTCTTGATCATTGTTTTCTACTTCGTCATTGTGTGTTAGCTCTCGATCCTCTATTTAGGATTAAGCTATGCATACTTCAGCGATACTCGTAGATACTATCCAGGCCGCTGACACACGTACCTTACTTCGACGTGGGTCCTTCTGCCCCCTAGTGGTTCTTGGCTACAGCAAAATCCCGCAGTAACCTGGTGCCACTTTATCATCCTGTACGGAGTACAAACACCAACGGGGTATTATCCCGCGTTCCAGTCTGCTCTTGTGTATTTCTCTCTGATAGCCATGAATAACGGTCTGCAATATCCATGCTGTTACCTGCTTATTGTCCAATTTTTATTCACTGTCTTCAATAACATACATTTCTTTGGTACCAGAAGTCTATGCAATGGGGTCATCCATCTTCTTTGATGCTCACTTCGATGCCATTGTCGAGCAGGCACTGAAGTTTTATCATTGTCCTGGACTGTCTATTGCCGTTGTCCACAAAGGCACTACGTATGCAAAAGTATGATTCCAGAATGATTCCCGCAATGCCAGATCAATCCGTATTTACTCACTACTGATGCTGTTTTCAGGGTTATGGCTTTGCAAATATTGAATCAAAAACAGCCGTGACCCCTGAAACACTTTTCTACACTGGAAGTACCACCAAATCCTTTACCGCTGCAGCGTATTCCATCATCGCATCTGAGCCATCTAAATATGGTGGTGTGGACTGGAGTACACCCATATCTCATATTACCCCAGAAGACTTTGTGCTTGCAGATGAGTGGGCGACTAATCACGTTACCGTCAAGGACGCTTTGTCCCATCGCACAGGTTACCCAGGGTGCGACATGGCGTATGGTCAAGTAGGAACAAATATGAAAGATACGATCAGGCTCTTGCGGCACCTGCCCATGGTTGCCGAGCCGAGGGTGGAATGGCGGTACCAGAATATTATGTATACAGCAGTCAGCAACGCTATCGAGAAAGTCACTGGCATGTGGTTAGGAGATTTTTTGCGTCAAAACATTTGGACTCCACTGGATATGGCTAGCACTTTCTTCACCTTGGAGCATGCATTGCAATATGTCAAAGCAAGCAAGGGACATAATGTACAGCTGGCCACAGGTTATCGATGGGTGGCTGCAGATGAATATGGCTGTCGATTTCTGACTGGTGACAATCAAGCTGGTCATTTTGTCGAAGAGCCCTACATGAACCTGTCACATGTATCGGGAGCTGGCACAATGATTAGTTCGGTCGTTGATTATGCCAAATACCTCCATTGCATGCTGCAACAATCAGAACCTATTCCCCCTTTGGGCCACCGAGCTCTTCGTCAGGCTCATACACTGATTAACTCCGAAGTGTTTCCAACTGTAAGTGACCAGTCTCCTATAAGGATAGGACAGCCTTCATACACTCTAGGCTAGTTCCATGAAATCTACGCACGTGGCGGCGGTGGGCCAGTTGAGATATACCGTCATCCGGGTGCACTTTACGGCTTCAGGGCGGAGATGGTATATGTTCCCAAACTCGAGCTTGGAATCATTACACTTGGAAACGGGGCCCCAACCGCTACTCAGGTTGGTCAACTATTAGTGTATGAGATAGTGGACAACTTGCTTGGTATTGATCGTTCAGCTCGGTTTGATCTGAAGAAGGAACACATTGCTCAAGAAGAGGCACTTTTGAAGACGCTGCCGCTACAAATATCCCAGAAGAGACTCTTTGGGCCCTTTACTGGCAGCGTCAGGCCTTTGCGTATATCCATGCAGGATCATGCTGGGAAGTACTCGAATGCAGGCTATGGTGAAGTAACAATCAGTGTTCGAAGCCGTGATGCAAACTATAAACTCGCCGAACTGAGCGACAGCGCTGGTCAAGTCACGGATCATTTCCTCCGCCTCTCTCCGTCCCCCCACACATGGCGCTGGGCTGCAGATCTTACCCACGTCTCAGACGAGTGGTTCCTTGCCAGCTTCGTCAACTCGTATCCGCCACTGGAGTTCAAGCAAAACCCAGATCGGTATCAGTACGGCGATGAAGGTGTGCTGGAGACCCGTGTGAGGGCAGTGTTCAAGCTTGAACCCCAGGGGGCCGTCAGGCGACTGGGAATTGAGCTCGAGCCAGACGTTGCTGATGCTGAGGAAGCAAAGCAGAGAAGAGGCAAGGGTGACAAGAGGACAGATGGAGTGTGGGACTGGGATATAGAAAAGGGGATGATTTGGTTTGAGCGGATTGATTGACCGTATGAGAAAGAACTGGTTTGTATGCCCCTGTGCATCAAAAGCCGAATCAGCTTGTCGAACGATGCTCATGGGAACATGAGGGGCTATTGATGTCTCACAGAGTGCGCAACGGATACCTAAGGAATAACGTCTTTAATTAGTAGTAGCAGAGAAGACCAAAGCACTGACGTGCCATGATGCAGCAAAAGGGGCCAAGAAATCATTTTACTACCGGGATTTGTGTGCAGCGGGATTTTAGTCGTTGGTGAGACAGGTGCCTTATTTTCTGTCTTGCTAGCACATAGATCGTGTATGAACGAGATCCTTGATGCCAAGTACCACACAGCCCTCTGGCAATTCTGTTGTATGCAGTTGAATAACATCCAATTTCTCTTTACTGCCAAGGCTTCGTGTTTCAAGTTGGAGCGGTAACTGACGCCAAGCATTTGGCTTATCTACGCTCGGAGTGGGGCAGCTTGCTCCCTTTCCAACCGTACAAAATAGTTGACCCGTTCCTCATGACTGAGATGCACTGTCGTAGATGGCCCACTCAAAGTGTTCCGGAGAGGAATGTATTCACGAGGTATGTATTGCTGCATTTTATATCCTAGTATAGTATATTTTGCGTAATGAAAAGTGGGTCGGTGGATCTGGGGTCCTCGGCTCTTTCGGCTCCTTAATAGGGAAAGTGAGCACGCGAGCAGCTTCAACGCTAGACCCACTTATGCAGTGCCTTTCTCTCACGATTGGCTTCTGCCGTTGCCAATGCGGTGGGATCAGGTTGGCAAGGTCGGCCAACACACCTCAGCCCGATTCTCCCATGCCGCAGTCCATTTCCCAAGTCTGGCAAACAGCGGATCCATACTCCGTACTTACGCTCTTACTGCAACATAAGCCAGAATACTTCTCTCAACATGAGAGTTGAGCTCAGCCCACCGTGTTTTCCTTGTCAATAATGCTTCGTATCTTTTCTCGCTGCCTACTAATTGTGAGCCTCTTCTCGTCTGTTACTTTTACCCATCCACAACCTAGTTCGAGCAGCTCACCTCCAAATACCACGCCCGAGCCCATGCCTACCCCTCCCTCGAACGAAGCCGACCAGAACAAGTACTTTCATGAACCCGGGGGCCATGAACCAGGCGAAGACGACCGCCTTGGGCATTACGACACTCGCTATTTTCATGGCTTGGTCTCTCTGGACGAGCGAACGGAAACCCTCACGCATATGGTCAGAGCATACCTCACAACTTTTCGGAAGCTAGGCCTGGAGACCTGGATCGCACATGGCACACTGTTAGGTTGGTGGTGGAATGGAAAGGTCAGCAAGTATGACAGTGTTTATCAGGTGGTCAGCTGATTCCGACATAGATTCTACCATGGGATTGGGACGTCGACACCCAAGTCTCTGGCGCAACCTTAATGTACATGGCGGAGAATTGCAATCGGACAACACATGATTACGTATCGGATGACAAGGAATATCGACGCACATACCTTCTTGATGTAAACCCATGGTCGAAACAGCGCGATCCTGGTGATGGCGCAAACATTATCGATGCAAGATGGATAGATACCACAAATGGGCTTTACATCGATATAACGGGTCTGAGCGAGGTACATCCAGAAGAGAAGCCCGGGATCTGGAGCTGCAAGAACTTCCACGATTATCGTATCCGAGATCTGTATCCGATGAGAGAGAGCATATTTGAAGGAGTCAGGGCGCGAATACCTTATGCATATGATCAGATATTGGTGCAAGAGTACGCGGCGCAAGCTTTGGTGAATACGACCCATGAGGGGTACGATGTGGCCCACGGTTTCCATGGGCTAAATGCTGACACGGGTACAGACATCGGTGGCATGAAGACGTGAAAGAATGGATTCCTATATCTGGAGAAGCAAGATAACGCAAGGAAATTCTCGTACTCATTTCATGATAGCACACGCGAATACCCTGCATTTCCGATGTTGATATCATTCAATCGTTAGCGAAGCATTGGCTGGCGCAGGTTGAGCTTGGAGCAGGAGGTTTTAAATGGGGAGGGTCTTCCTACAAAAATGGTTTATGGACAGCGAAAGCCACAGACCCAGTTGTACTCGAGGAAGCCGAGCCGAGCCTGGAATATATAATGTGACCTTCATGGATTTCCCTCTACTGCCACAAGATAACTTGTTTCGAATCGTCGTAGTAGTAGCAGCGAATGGAGTTATGTTCTCGTTCAGGTCGAATACTAAGTTAGTGCAAGTTGTGCGTGGCACACGCATGTACATAACTACTACTAGTAAGTTAGTAGTAGTGGAGGATGATCAAAGCTTGGCAATGATGACGCCGCAGCTACTAGATTAGAATTGATCTTGATTACCAATTGAATCAGGCAGAACGTGGTCGAATGAGCATTGCCACTCCGCTCAAAATGAGCTTTGCTGTGAGATTCTGGTGTCTCTCGAGATTCTCTGACAATTATCGCCAAATCTTTACCCCGTGGATAGATGCAAATCACTGACCTCGAAGATGGAACCTGCGGAGGACGTAAATGAAAGCAACCCGAGAGATTCAATAACAGGTCAGATCAACCATGAAGATGATGGTCCGTTGATGGAGATTCATGTCTATTTCCATAGCAAGCAATTTACGGTCCAGGCACCGCCAAACATAACAATCTCACAACTTTCATCTTCACTTGCTGAGATGCTCTCGATCGAACCCCAGAAGCAGAAGATCATGATTACACCGAAACCAGGCATCCTCAAACCTCCGTTTCCAAACACTCAGGTCTCCGCTATCTACACACCCAAGACAAAGATCACGCTTCTGGGAAGTACGGAGAAGGAGATTTCTGACCTCAATAACAGCATTACCAAGGTCCGTGTCCGATCCGGGAACCGACTTGCCGCTGAAAGAGCTGCACCCAAAGCCACCAAGCACCGAGATTGGAAGAAAATCCAGGAAGAAAGTACCTATACCTTTCACTCTATCCGCCCGCTACCCTATCTTCTGAACCCGGAGCGGTCGCATCGATTTCTTGAGCGACTAGCAGGCGATCCTGGCATTAAAGCCGCTATGAGGGCTCACAAGTTCTCCGTTGGTCTTTTGACCGAGATGGATCCAGCCGAGCACACCACACAGGAGTCACGGACATTAGGACTAAATAGGAATCGTGGCGAGGTTATCGAGTTGAGATTGCGCACAGATCGTTATGACGGTTATAGAGACTACAAGGTTATTCGCAAAACTCTGTGTCACGAACTCGCCCACAATGTCTTTGGTGAACACGATCGCAACTTCTGGGATCTGACGGGGCAAATCGAAAAAGAGGTGGAGAAAGGTGATTGGCAGCATGGAGGCCATAAATTGAGTGAAGACGAGTTTTATAATCCGGGCGATGATGGCTATACTGATGGAGGGCAGCACTTGGATGCTGGTGGTTGGACAGGCGGAGAGTTTGTGCTGGGCTCGGATCAAGTCTCACATGGATCGGAGGGACTGACCCGTCGTGAGATTCTGGCCAAAGCTGCAATGGACAGGGCGGAAAAGCAGAAAAAAGCGCAGAAAGAGATCAACGAGTCGCAAGGCGATGATAAGGCTTTAGACAAGCAGTGATACTAATACGAGGACAGGAAAGTCAGTAGGGGTCATGGTGGTGGCATCTGGGGAGGCGCCATGCACCTAGATGTGCCCTTTGGTTGGCTCCATTCGACCCCTTCCATAACCTCCAAAAGGGTTAAGTACCTGGCATGGTGAAGACAACCTAGACAATTCCTCATCGTTTCCTGCACAAAACAGTCTCATCCTGGAATTTAATATATTGTTTTAATTAACAAACCTGAGACCTCCGTGGCCGTTCCCTTGGAAAGTATCCTTCCGTACTAGTTGGTGTTCCCCGGCGTTCGACTGTTTGTCACTTCAGTACTACTACGTAAGCTTACGTAGTACTGAACTCCCCTGCCTTTGGCCCTTGAATTTAGGTTTGGTTGGGCAGCGTCATATGCAAAGCAGTTTGTGTTTCACCGTTCGGACCCTTGTTTACGTTCGGCATTATCCTAATCTAGCCCCAAGTTTGCCTAAATAATTTCCCGTACCCAAGATTGGAAGCAGTCAAGCAACCTCGTCTGCGGAACCGTATCTTTGGCGCCATAGATGCCAGAAATTCGATTCACGATTACCTCTTACTGTTCTTTGCTTCTGTATGCCTCTGCTCGAAAGTGGTCGCGACAGAAGCTGCTCTGCTGGCGCAACCAGCTCGCCGGTGCGCCGGCAGAGCCAACTCTCCAACATGGCCAAAAGTGCCATCCTCAGTAGCGCCAGCACCTCTCCAGCTTCCGACGACCTCCCTCCTCTTGATCACCACGATTCATACCAGAAGCTTTCAAGCATGATGGGCCCTCCCAAGACAATTCCTAACAGAAACATTGGCAACCAGCCTCAAAGAGAAAACAAACCCATCCCTTCTCAGCAGTTCCTCAGTCCAACAAATGGCATCGGACACGCTCTCAATGACACACCTCTTTCAACCGCTCCAAGCAGTCCTCAGATGTATGGTTCAGGAGGCTTTGACCCTGCAACAGTATGTGCTAACATTTTGCAGTCATCCTAGTGTCAGCAAAACCGGAACACCTAAATCCCGTGCTACCACACTCGACATACCCGGTCTCACAAGATCCAAAGTTTCTCCCGACGGCCGAATAGCGCAGCGAGATGTTGGTAGCAAGCTTGTCCTTGTCATGGTTGGACTTCCGGCACGGGGAAAAAGCTACATTGTGAAGAAAATTGCGAGATACCTCAACTGGATGCAGCATGACTGCAAGATCTTCAATGTGGGCAATCTACGCAGAATGGCCGCAGGTGGAGGTCAAACCCAAACCGATGCTAGCTTGGAAGGAAAGCTTCGAGCTTCTGTTCGTCGGCTAAGTCTAGCTCGGGGACGTCCATCCAGCATAATTGACCATAACGATCTGCTCCCACCCCCAGCCATCACCACACAAATCATGGTCAATGGAGAGGTGCAGGGGAACGTTTTCGAAGAGGTTGAACAGCACGCGCAACATATACCCAGTCAACCCAAGCATACACTTCCAGCGCCGGAGCACATGGATCAAGACGCCAACTTCTTCGACCCTGAGAATGCTAGGGCTTCCCAGATTCGTGAGCAAGTCGCACTCGAGACACTTGACGAGCTGCTTGACTATGTCCTCAACCAAGGTGGTTCGGTCGGTATTCTGGATGCAACAAATTCAACACTCGAGAGACGAAAGACCATCATGACTCATATCCGAGAGCGCACTGGCTCCGAACTGAATGTTCTGTTTCTTGAATCGCTCTGTTTTGATGAGAATCTGCTAGAGTCAAACATGCGTCTCAAGCTTTCGGGTCCTGATTACAAGGACAAAGATCCTGTGGAGGCACTTGCAGACTTCAAGAAACGAGTGAAGATGTACGAAAAAAAGTATGTCCCGCTCGGAGAGTACGAGGAGCGCCACAGCATGCCATACTTGCAGATGATCGACGTGGGTCGCAAGGTTGTATCTCATCAGATCCGGGGTTTTCTACAAATCATTCTATCCACATATCTGCTCAACTTCAACCTAGCTCCACGACAGATTTGGTTAACGAGGCATGGCGAGAGCATGGACAATGTGCATGGGAAAATTGGTGGTGACAGCTCTCTTAGCCCAGCTGGCGTCCGATACGCAAAGGCTCTGACTAGATTTATTACCGAAGAGCGAGCTGCTTGGGAGCAGAGGCAGGTCGAGAAGCAACAAAACTGTCATTGGCCACCACGCCCTGGTGACACCACACCGCCAAATCCTGAGTACACCCGGCAGTCGACTGGGCAAGAGAAGAACTTTTGTGTTTGGACATCTATGCTCAAACGCAGCATCGAAACTGTCCAGTTCTTTTCGGAGGACGATTTCGACATCAAACAGATGCGCATGCTAGATGAGCTCAATGCCGGCGATATGGAAGGCATGACTTATGAGGAGGTCAAGACCAAGTTCGCTGACCAATATGCTTTGAGAAAGCTTGACAAGTTGCATTACCGATATCCAGGGCCTGGAGGAGAAGGTTACCTCGACATCATTAACAGACTACAGAAGGTTATCATCGAGGTTGAGAGGATGACAGACCATGTTCTGCTGGTCGGGCATAGGAGTATCACTCGAGTTCTTCTAGCTTACTTCAAAGGGTTGGGCAGGGAAGATATTTCAGACCTCGACGTACCCCTTGGAGTGGTGTACATGCTTGAGCCAGTGAGTGGTGTCTTGCATTGCTGATCCTTCCAAGACTGACATTCGTTGCAGAAACCATACGGTGTCGACTTCAAGGCGTATCGCTACAATCCTTCGACAGATTGGTTCGATTACGTTCCAGATTTCGAATTGAGGCGAGCCACTAATCCCCAACCATATTGAGAACACAATTCTTATCACTGCGACCAATCCTGGAATTCTGGAGTTTTTTACCATGTCGCATTCGCACATTTGGCTCTGTTGCTTTGTACTGACCTTAACAACCTGAGTTGATAGGTGTTGCCCGAAGCATCCATACTTCAGCACACACAGCCTAACTATCGACTTCTGACGGCTATAACATGATGAGACAACGGCGTTATTCAACAACAGCGAGCATTCAATGGGAGATAAAGGATTGAGGCTATCAAGCCAGACTTGTACTTGTATGGCGTGAGGAATCCATGGAATTCAGTTGGATATTGCTTTCTCAACTCTTGGCAAGGGCTTTGACGATGGCGTTGAATGGGTCCACTGCATGCGGCGTGGCTTGTGATCATCACGAGCGCTCAACAGCTATTCGAAATCAGACACTTTTCCTCCAGATCTATCGAGGGTGAATACTTTCATTTCCGCCACCAGGCAGTGCAGAGAGCGCTAGTGCTGTCAGAGCACGTTTTTGGCTGACCCAGCAAAGATGCTTGTTCCCCACCATTGCATGCTTGCATCCACACAAGCAATTATTTTCATGCCACTGTGAAATTTTCTTGCTCAGTTCTCTCCTGGAGTACAGAAGGATCTTCGTTCAGCATCGTTTCGTATCGTGTCGTATCTTGCCTGATCACACTGGACATGTTGCCAGGCGGGTCTAACGCATACCACTGCATCTCACTCACAGCACAATAACAACACGCCCAACAAGCTGCTCGGCGGTTTTGATCGCTCTCACATGGTCATCAGCGGAAAACATCACCAACGCCCCAACCTCTTTATATATCGGGCTACTCGACATAGTAAAGGAGGGCTAACATGCCTACTATCGTGCTCACACATTTCAACATCATCACTGCTGTACTAGGCGGCTTCATCACGGTATTTGGCCTCGTTTCTTATCTTTTCAAGGAACGATTTTATCTCTCCGAAGCTCGTAGGTTCACATGTCAATACCTTTTACGAATCTAACGGCCCCCTAGTGATCTCTCTAGTGGCTGGCATCACTTTCGGTCCTCACGCCACAAACTTGATCCGACCTGTGGAATATGCCCTTGGCAGCGAGGAAAATCTTACCTACATCACGTTGTACTTCTCTCGTCTCGTTCTGGGTGTACAGCTTGTTCTTGCTGGAGTTCAATTACCAAGCAGGTATCTCTTGCGAGAATGGAAAACCTTGTCTCTCTTGCTAGGTCCAGTTATGGTTGCCATGTGGCTGTGTGCCAGCCTACTCATCTTCGCCATGGTCCCTAATCTTCCATTCCTGCATGCATTGGCATGTGGCGCGTGTGTCACACCCACGGATCCAGTTCTTTCGAATTCGATCGTCAAAGGCAAGTTTGCAGATAAAAATATTCCAAAGGATTTGCAGAAGATCATCATTGCAGAATCTGGTGCCAACGATGGACTGGGATATCCTTTCCTCTTCCTGGCCTTGTATCTGATCAAGTATAACGGTGATGGCGGTCTAGGGCAAACAGGCAGCACAGGTAAAGCCATCGGTTATTGGTTCGGAGAGACGTGGGGATACACCATCGTCCTGAGCATTATTTATGGTATTACTGTTGGCTGGATAGCCAAGGAGCTTCTTCATTTCGCAGAAGATCACAGATTTGTCGATCGAGAGAGCTTCTTGGTCTTTGCAATCACCTTGGCGCTCTTCATTACCGGGACGTGTGGCATGATCGGATCTGACGACGTCCTGGCATGCTTCGTGGCCGGCAATGTCTTTACCTGGGATGACTGGTTCCGACTCGAGACCCTCGATGATTCGTTGCAACCCACCATCGACATGCTGCTGAATGTCTCCGTCTTCATCTGGTATGGCGCTGTCTGCCCTTGGGTGTCCTTCAGGGTCAACGATGTGATACCGCTCTATAGACTGGTCTTCCTCGGAGTATTGATTCTTCTGTTCCGCCGGATACCCACTATCTTGATACTGCACAAGAAGATTTGGCAGATCGAACACCTTCGACAAGCGCTCTTTGTTGGATTTTTCGGACCAATCGGAGTCTCGGCTATTTTCTATCTCTATGTCAGTATCGACTTTCTAGAGCAAGTGACATATCATGGCGAGGTAAGGGAGGATGCTGCGAGGCTGAAGGATGTTATGATGGTCGTGATCTGGTTCCTTGCCATCTGCAGTATTGTAGTGCATGGTCTATCAGTTCCTGTCGGAAAGCTTGGCTACCACATTCCCCGATCAATATCATTGGCATTGAGCGCAAGCACGGAGAACACAGAATCTCGAAACATTGATCTCCGAGACTACTCGGGTTCTGCATCTCGACACCAACCCGGTAGGCTCCAGCAGCAGCGAGATCCTCAAGATCCACCTCCTAAAATAGCTTTCAGATTGAGAGGTTCGAAAGTGATGCCAAAGAATGACAACGATTTGCAGGGCCCTACTGGTGAGCCGAGCAGGCCGATTAACTTTGTCAGCACATTGAGTACACAGCAAAATACTCCTGCAGAGAGCCTCAGCCAACCAGACCGAAGTCTTACAGAGAAAGAGAACGAGCAGTTGTGTCACATGAAGAGCGGCGAGAGGGTAGATCAGGTGACACCGCCAACGCAGGAAGAGACTGAGCGAGATCTGCCAATTTGAGCAGGATGAGCGCAACGCAAGAGATATAGATGTAGTGGTTGGGTTCGCAGCGGATGAGAGCATGGAGGCGTGCATAGATTGTGTAGAAATGTTGAACAAGAGTACATAGACCTCTCAAGGCTTCCACAAGATGTGCATAATTGACGGCAGCAATTGTGCTTTCTGTGTGGCGTGGTATGTCAGCGTGCTAGTATTTGCAGCTCACCCTGTCCCTAGAGACTTCACGTTAAGAGGAAATTTGTATCTAGAAACGCGCATGGAGTGGTTGTGTTGCTTGGCTGGCTCCCCGCCTGCTCATGAACCAATCGCTGCCGCGCCGACAGGCTGCCTCTGCATCTTCCACAAACTCCAGAATAATTTCTATACAGCAACGAGGTCGCCAGACCAATCCGTCGAGAGGATTCGAATACTCTCCCTTCCAAGACATCCTGCTACCATCCTTTCTGCCACGCCTGTCTAAGCAATAATAAACAAGTAAACCCTGACGACCAATCCTCGAATAACACGATTCCATTGCTGCAATGTCGGATTGAACTGCCCAACAACAAGGTGGCTTGACATTGTTTGCGTATTTCTGCTTAGAACTCGAAAAATCGATTTGTCTCCACTGCAGATCCAAACCGTTTCAACCAGACGGATGTGTCGATCATAACTTGCTTCGCAAAGCTCCTGCTCCCTATCCGATTCGAGACCCATCTTTAAGCACACACTTCAAGTATTGAATGAGGCCGTTGGGATACGCAGGCGAAGATGAAAGGATTCAGACAAAGAGTGGTTCGTCTTCCAGTTGAAGTCCCCCATGAGCTCGCGGCTGTGCAAAAAGTAACAAGTACATTTTGCCTCGAATTGACTGACAGAAGCTCTTCTAGCACGAGCAGTTATCAAGAGCCAAGGACTCGAACAAATCCTCCAAGAAGAAAGATTCTGCTTCCGGAACAGCCTCTCCTTCACAATCGAATGCGCCCTCTGGTACTGATAGCCGATCTCCTGCGAGTTCGGCTCAAGGTACGCCAACGTCATCTACCACAAATGTCAGTGATGTGAGGAATAGAGCTTCTATAGGAAGTGATGGAGGATCTACCGGTGGGCAACATACAAACTCTATACATCATGCCACGCAGAATTTACCCAATGCACCAACTGGCCATGCGTTCATGCCTCAACCTCCTCCTGGCTCTCAATCTTCCGTTGGCGGACCAGGTACCCCATCCAGGCCTGGCAGTCATCTCAACCCCAGCGTGGTGATCAGTCCGAGCGCGCCGGTATGTTGACTTCCTATTCTTCCCCTCGTTCTCGATCTTCGCGTTTGTCACACTCTATACAACTGAAGCTTCATCTACTGACTGGCGAAACGGTATAGCATGTACCTCCACCAGGAGCAGCGGAGACTATGCCTGGCGACCTAGCGCCTCCAAAGGCTGGGCAGAAATCCCTACTCTTTGCTGGATTGCAAACAACTCCCAAAGATGTGCCTGAAGGAATTCGAACACCTAAAAGACAGCATTCGTCACGATTCGATATCTCCGATCAACGGCAGCGTGAGCTCGAGAAATTACCCGGGTTTCATGAGGTTCCACCGCACCGGAGGCAAGAACTGTTTATGCAAAAGATCGATCAGTGCAATATTATTTTCGATTTCAATGATGCCACTGGTGATATGAAGTCGAAAGAGATCAAGCGATTGGCCCTTCACGAGTTATTGGACTACGTTGCCAACAATCGGTCTGTCATCACTGAGCCAATGTACCCCCGCGTGGTGGATATGTTCAGCAAAAATCTTTTTCGACCAGTTCCACCACCGGTCAATCCCCAAGGCGAGGCATTTGACCCCGAAGAGGATGAGCCCGTTCTGGAAGTTGCTTGGCCGCATATACAGGTGGTATACGAGTTTTTCCTGAGATTCATAGAGAGCCAGGATTTTAATACCAACATCGCCAAAGCACATATTGACCATCAATTTGTTCTACAGGTATGTCGGCTTTTTATTGGGGATTGTGAACGGGCTAACGAGATAGCTTCTCGAACTATTTGACTCCGAGGATCCTCGGGAACGAGATTTCCTCAAGACCACACTTCATCGGATATATGGAAAATTCCTCAATCTACGCTCATACATCAGACGCTCCATCAACAACGTCTTCTTCCAGTTCGTCTACGAAACTGAGCGGTTCAACGGCATCGCAGAGCTTCTTGAGATCCTAGGATCGATCATAAACGGTTTCGCGTTGCCTCTCAAGGAAGAGCACAAGCTGTTTCTTACGAGGGTGTTGATCCCGTTGCATAAGGTCAGGAGCCTGAGCATGTATCACCCCCAGCTGGCATACTGTATCGTCCAGTTTTTGGAGAAAGACGCGGCCTTGACAGAAGAGGTACCTTTGATCCGCTGTTTTTCTTGCTCTCCGTGCTAATCAGGCAATCTCAGGTCGTCTTGGGCCTACTTCGATATTGGCCGAAAGTCAACAGCACAAAGGAGGTCATGTTCTTGAACGAAGTAGAGGACATCTTTGAGGTGATGGATCCGGCAGAGTTCGCCAAAGTACAAGAGCCTCTCTTCAACCAGCTGGCAAAATCTGTCGCCAGCCCTCATTTTCAGGTGAGCATTGCAACCGGGAATGCTTAAAGCATGAGCTGATTCTAGTGTCAGGTCGCCGAACGAGCACTCTACTTCTGGAACAATGAATACTTCTGCAACTTGGTCAGTGATAATGTTGAGACCATACTGCCAATAATGTTTGCGCCACTGTACGAGAATTCTAAAGGACATTGGAACAGGTAAATTCTTCCCATCACTGCACAGTTCCCCGACTTGACGCTGCTTAGGACTATACATGGTATGGTGTATAATGCCATGAAGCTATTTATGGAGATCAATCCGCAATTGTTCGATGACTGCTCGCATGACTATACCGAGCTACAGAACAGCGCAGAATCTCGGGAGCAAACTCGTCAAAGCAAGTGGGATCGATTGACGGAGCAAGCCAACAAGATGAAGAGTGGTCTTAGGACAGCTCCAATGAAGCCAATCAACGTCAAATACGAAACAGATACAATGACTCACGATAGTCAACAACGTCTTGATGCTCTCAAATTGCACGACGAAGGCGCTATAGGGAGCAAATCAACCACGGTTAGTTGAGTTGCAGTTCTCCTGGAGTCCCGTCTTTCTGTAAATGCCTTCCTTCCCTTCATGTACTTTACAACCGCTAAGACCAAGTTCATTATCCTTAGTAACCTGGATCTTGTTTCTAACATGTGCGGTGAAACTTTCTCCAGAGACGCCCACGCGGGTCTTCAGATACCACAAAAGGTCATCGTTCGGGTGCAAGTGGCGAGAGCCGACCCAAGGGCACAAGAAGGAACTCCGGAGGCAGTAGCAACAGCACCACAACCTCTACCACCGTGTCTCGCATGAATCCAGCGAATCTTCCTCCCCAGCCAGCACATACCTGAAGATGGTCGGTCCTCTCTTCTGTCTACTCACACGCTATGACTGGGCATCGCGTCCCTAAAGCAAGCGACCGGTCCGAATGATTACGTTTTCGTGTACATTTTCCCGGCCAAACCCGTTCAACCTTGCTTTCCACGTTTACGGGCTTGGTGGGATTGCCTGGTTTCCACAATCGGGCCTCTTCTTAGGTGGGGGCAGGACGCGCGTATGGGGCTGGCGGGCACGAAGGTCTAACCTTAGAACATCATGACGGATGGGTGATTGAAAGGCTCATGGCGTTTTACCTTTACCCCACCCTACCCTACCTCAACTTCGGTAAATTAGACTTCGTGAAATGGGCCACAATAATGCATTGGCCATCGCATCGCATTGCATTGCATCGCTCCTGCTGATGTTTTTCTCATGTGATGAGGTGAAGCGAAGTGAACGATCATGGTAGAGTAGCTGGGAAGATGGATAAAGGGTTGTCTTGTCTTTGCCTCGAGATCCCACGTCCTCATCTTCGTATTGTAGGTTGCAGTGGTAGGTATGAATCGCTTCTTGCTGTGTGATGTGCATGGTAGGTGGGGGTGGGGGATTAACTAGCTGGGTTCTACCAACTTTGTGCGCGGAGCGGATGGTGATCTGAAGAGAATTCGGTCTCTCCAAGTACTACGGTAAGGGGGCATAAATATTCGTAGCACGAGCACGGGTGTTAAGAATGGCTAGTATAAAATACGTCGCTACCACAACTGAACCTCGTAAAGGTGGCCCAGTCAATAGCGCTGAGAAGCAGCGACAACAGCAAGGATAGAAATATAGGAACTGTTGAGCAGAAACAAGCGCGCCTCAAAGTATCTGAAATCAAGGAGGCTGTGGATGAGTTCTTAAGCTTCCAGATATATTTAAAAGGCAAGAAGGTGCATTCAAGATCCCAGTTGCAAATAAATATACCAAGCAAACGAAAGAATAATCCTAAATGAGACAACGAGTTTGACGACGACTAGTTAGACACAAGGCCTATAGCGACGCGTTGAGACATATAGCTTTACTCGGTTCCTAGTGCATATTTATCAAGAAGGTCGTTCACAAGACTCATGGCTTAGTAGAATTTGCATCTCTGAATCAGCCAATCTGCAAGTACATCTGTACAACTAGTACCGGGGAGTTAAAGACGTCGAACTTATAGTGAGTAATGAGGTGTATTCTAACTTACTATGTATTAGCAGATAAAAAAGCCAATCGGAGTAGCATATATCTTGGCACCGACTAGCTCCCTTTGATTTTGTGAAAGCTACCCCCCAGATGCTAATGTTCCCGGATTCCAGTGTACAATTGCAAAGGCAGACCTGGTGGTCGCGCTCCACGTCCTTACTCTCGCTTCTCTTTGTCTGGTGGTGAGGTTTGATTGTAATCGTCCTTCGAAACCCTTCTACACCTGTCTTTTCACAGCACACAGTCGCCCTTCACTGAAATACTTTTCTTGCGTTGCATCACTTCCCAACTCTTCACCCAAGACTAAGAAGTCTGCACCAATGAATGCTAGCAAGCCCGTAGCATTTGGTGTTTTGTCTCTTGCTTCCTCCAGCTCCTTTGGCTGTGGGTGCGTCTTACAAGCGGAGAGCAATTGCTTCGTGCTTCACGCATCATGGAGCGGAGCATCGACATCTACACTGCGCGCTTAAGCGATCCAAACCTTGGTAGGTCTCTACAGTACTAAAGACTAGTAGCTGTAGTGTGCCGCTCTGTGTTGTGCTTTGAAGATAATAGGCTTCGTACTGATCTTGACAGATGCTAAAACCAAAGCCAATATTGCGACTGAACTCCGCGATTCGATAGAGACCCTCTGCTCAGGCTCGAGTTATCCTAGATTTCTTGCGAAATTATGGCCGGTATTCAAGAAGATATTACAGGGCGAGCCCGTCTTCATGGCAAATTCGCCAGACCATGTACGTGTGAAATATGGCGCTGCAGCTTCTCGCAAGGCTAAACATCGCATTAGATTCTGCGCAACCATATCCTAGAAATTCTCCACAGAGTACATACGAATTCGCCAGAGATCGAACCTTACGCAGCGGACATAGTTGACACTTTGATGGAACTGGTGCGGATAGAGAACGAAGATAATGCTGTACTGTGCATGAAGACCATCATGGATTTGGAAAGGCACCAGGTTATGGCGACAGCATCAAGAGTTCAGCCATTCCTAGAGCTCATCCAGGAGATGTTTCAGTTGATGGAAAAGGTCGTGAAGGACACTTTCGACACTCCGCAAGGTGCTACACCCTCGATCTCGTCCACTCCTAGCCATGCCTCTCAGAATTTCCAGTCGCCACGGCCGGCATCACCTGCAACAACAGTCTCGGATTCAGGTGCTGAAAAGAAGGACCAGGCTCTCGCGCCGGGCATGCAGTCGTTTAAGGTTCTCGCTGAATGTCCCATCATTGTGGTGTCGATTTTTCAAGCACATCGGAATTCCGTATCTGCAAATGTGAAAAGGTTCGTCCCGTTGATCAAGGAGATTCTGCTGCTCCAAGCGAAACCGCAAGAAAGAGCTCATGCCGAAAAAGGGGCTGCTAAAACCATTTTCACTGGTGTGTGCAAGGAGATCAAGAATCGAGCTGCTTTCGGCGAGTTTATCACTGCGCAGGTCAAGACTATGAGCTTTTTGGCATACTTACTACGAGTATACGCACAGCAGCTGCAGGACTTTCTACCTACGCTACCGAGTGTTGTGGTTCGGTTACTCAAAGATTGTCCACGGGAGAAATCCAGCGCTCGAAAAGAGCTCCTGGTAGCTATCAGACATATTATCAATTTCAACTACCGGAAGATCTTCTTGCAAAAGATCGACGAGCTTCTAGAAGAACGGACTCTAATCGGAGACGGCCTGACCGTGTATGAGGGCATGAGACCATTAGCCTATAGCATGCTGGCAGATCTCATTCATCATGTTCGTGATTCTCTCAGCCAGGATCAAATTCGGAAAACGATCGAAGTCTATACTCGCAACCTTCATGACAATTTCCCCGGAACCAGTTTTCAGACCATGAGTGCCAAACTCCTCTTGAATATGGCAGAGAGCATTACCAAGTTAGAAAACAAACAAGATGCACGTTATTTCTTGATGATGATCTTGGATGCAATAGGCGACAAGTTTGCCGCTATGAATCATCAATACAATAACGCTGTGAAGCTAACTCAACAGTATGCCAAAAGCCCAACAGATTCACAATCCGAGAGCTTTCTTGCCGATAAGGAACATCCGCCGGATTGGGACGAGATTGACATCTTCAATGCAACTCCAATAAAGACTTCTAATCCAAGAGACAGAGGCGCAGATCCTGTTGCAGACAACAAGTTCCTATTCAAAAACTTGGTCAATGGCCTCAAGAACATGTTCTACCAGCTCAAAATGACGAATCCGCAAGGAGTCAACTTCGATGACGCAAACACCCCCGTCAATTGGTCTGAGGTCAGCTTCGGTTATAATGCGGAGGAGGTCCACGTCTTTACCAAGCTCTTTCATGAAGGAGCACGGGTTTTCCGATATTACAAGACAGAGCAACCGCCGTCCGAAGGCCATTATTCATCTCCCGTTGAGTTCTTAGCCAGCCACTACATGGCACAGATGAGTCGGGAGGAGAAAGAACTTCTAGAAAGCTTTGGTACTGTATTCCATTGTATCGACACGGCCACTTTTCATGAAGTATTTCATGCCGAGATCCCGCACCTACACGATCTCATGTCTGAACATACTGCTCTGCTCCATCTACCGCAATTTTTCTTGGCTAGTGAAGCCACCTCACCGGCCTTCGCTGGCATGGTTTTACAGTACCTGATGGAGAGGATACATGAAGTCGGCTCTTCTGATGTCATCAAATCCTCTATTCTACTGAGGATGTTCAAGTTGTCTTTCATGGCCGTGACACTGTTCTCTCATCAGAACGAGCAGGTCTTGCATCCGCATGTAACAAAAATCGTCACTCAATGTGTGCAGCTATCCGTTACAGCAGAAGAGCCGATGAATTATTTTCTGCTCCTACGATCTCTTTTCAGAAGTATTGGAGGCGGCCGCTTCGAATTATTGTATAAAGAGATACTTCCGTTGCTGGAGATGCTGCTGGAGACCTTCAACAATTTGTTGCAGGGAGCACGCAAACCAGCTGAACGAGATCTTTATGTGGAATTAACACTGACAGTACCTGCACGATTGAGTCACCTGCTGCCGCACTTGAGCCATCTCATGCGGCCTTTAGTGGTTGCTCTTCGAGCTGGCTCAGAACTCGTGGGTCAAGGACTGCGGACACTTGAGTTGTGTGTAGATAACTTGACTGCTGACTACCTCGATCCGATCATGGCGCCAATCATGGATGAGCTGATGACCGCTTTGTGGGACCATTTGAAACCCAACCCGTACAGCCACTTTCATGCTCACACTACAATGAGGATCCTTGGCAAGCTGGGTGGTCGGAATCGTAAATTCCTAAATCATGCGCCACAGTTGACCTTCAACAACAGTGCAGACGATGATCCCAGCATCGACATCAAACTCGTCGGATCAAATAAAGACCGAGCGTTTCCAATTAATACTGGGATTGATTTGGCAATTGCAAAACTTCACGAGGTTCCGAAATTGCCGGCAGCGAAGGCATCAGACAGTTTTCATAAACAACAATCCTTCAGACTCCTGAGTTCGCAGCTGAAGCTGAATATTGGGCTTGATAACCTCCCGGATGAACTTGTGACTCTTCTACGAATGCAGGCCAACGAGCTAATAGCGAACAAGACCGATTCTTTAATCGATGTTGTGGACATAATGGGCAGGTCTGACAAAGAACAGTCCATGCAGAAGAAGAGAGATCAAGAAGACGTCTTGAAGAAGCTTCTGAAGGCCTGTATATATGCTTGTACCGTCCCAGAGCTCGAACCGCTCGCAACAGCGTTTCTTCATGATGTGTGCCGGCACTTGACTTTGATCGAACTGGGTAGAGCGCTTGCCCAAGCGAGACACAGGAATAAGCCTTTTGATGTCAACTCGGGTGAGGGTGAATCGTTTCTCGATCCAAGAGTTCTTGCAGATGCATTTGTGGAATGCCTGGCATCAGACGATGTACACGTTCGAGAGAAGACAGAAGAAGCAATCAAGGTGGTGCGTGACACGACGAGGACAATATTCGGCTCAATGGAGAGGGCCTCCAAATTCTCCTTCTTCCACCATTTGGCCAAAGTCTTCTGTCATCATTGCCACGAGATGGAATGGTTTGCAAAAGCTGGAGGTGCGCTCGGCATACATGTTCTGGCTACAGAGCTCGACTTAGGGGACGAATGGCTTGCAGGCAAGCAGATCGATTTTGTTCGAGCTTTGATGTTTGTCATCAAGGATATGCCTCCAGATCTTCCGGCGGGGACGAGAAGAAGAGCACAGGATACGCTCGAGATCATACTTCGGCGTTGTAATAAGGGTTCAACGAGGGAAACTTTGGCGAATGAGAAAGGCAAGCTATATACATTGTGTGGCTTCTTCGTATTCGAATTGGCTCATATGAACCGCCATGTTCGTGAGACGGCTCAGCACGCTTTTGCCGTATTGGCTGAAGTCATCGGTGTGGAGAGCTACGACCTTATAGAGCCTGTCAAGGATCGTCTCCTACTTCCAATCTTCAACAAACCGTTGCGTGCCCTCCCCTTCGCAACTCAAATCGGTTTTATTGATGCCATCACGTTCTGTCTTGGCCTTGGTCACGATCTAGTAACCTTTCACCACGAGCCGCTGAATCGCTTGATGATGGAATCCTTAGCACTGGTCGATGCTGAAGATGAGACATTACATACAAAGCCGGCAGAGCATAGCGTTGCTGAAACAATTGTCGATTTGAGAGTGGCATGCCTTCATCTGTTATCTTTGGCCATGAACTTTGCAGAATTTGCCAGCAACGCGCAGCAAAGCAGTCGAGCACGAATCATTGCTGTTTTCTTCAAGTCATTATACCACAAATCTCCCGAAATCATCGATGCCGCAAATGCGGGACTAAAAGACGTTCTAACACAGACCAATAAGTTGCCGAAAGACCTGCTACAGAATGGCCTTCGACCTATACTCATGAACCTCCAAGACCCGAAGCGACTTAGCGTACAAGGTCTTGATGGTCTTGCCAGATTACTCACACTGCTAACCAATTACTTTAAGGTTGAGATTGGAGCAAGATTGCTGGAGCATATGAAGGTCATCGCGGACGATGCGACGCTGCAAAAGGTGTCCTTCGGCCTTATTGAGCAGAACTCTCAGATGAAAATTGTTGCTGCTATCTTCAATATCTTTCACCTGCTTCCACCGGCAGCGACCACCTTCATGGAGGAACTTGTCAACACAGCATTAACCCTTGAAGAGAAGCTTCGACGGACTGCACATAGTCCTTTAAGGAAACCATTGGTGAAATACCTGAACCGCTACCCGAAGGAAACTTGGTCGTTCTTCCAGACGCGTATGCAAGATGAAAAATATGGCCGTTTTTTTGGCCAGATCCTCTCTGATCCTGAGGCAGAGCCGTTAAGACTTGGCCTAGTTGCAGAAACCGAATCTTTCATACATGCATCGTTTGACATGAGCGAGCCGGAGCAGAAAAATACCGCTGCCATCAATGCCATTTTTGCTGCACACTCAGTCTGCTCACATTCACCCACAGATGATTGGCTTCAATCGTACCCTGGACTGAAGGATCGCTTGCTTTCCGCTGGTAAGGACCTGGAGCAGAAGTTGCGGGCCGACCAACTCTTCCCCAAGCAGCGCCTTAGAGTGGAGCAGGCTGGAGATCAATTGATGGACATCTTCGCGAGATGTCTTGCCCTAGGCCCTTCAGATCTCGACTTTCTCTTCAAAGTTCTCACAGCCGCAGCGGCGAAAGAAATCAAGGTTACGCTTGCTCTTTACAGATATCTTTATCAACATATCATCTCGAGCGACTCTGTTGAGTATCGTCGATCCATTGTAAGTCGATGTCTGGACCTTTACACTCAGCGGAACGTTTCCCAAAGAGTGAAAACTTTCGTTTTTCACTACGTCATGAACCCCATTTTTGCCATGGATATTATGCGAACGTGGAATATTGGCCACTCGTCCTCAACGCTAATGGATAAATCCATGGCTGAGCTTCTGCATAATCGCCTCTGGAAACCGCAGATGGCAGATAACTTGGAAGACTCCGGACAGCAGGGAGTTGATCATTCTCGTATGGAAATATTGCAACTTACTGCCTTACTACTCAAATACCACGCCAGTACGGTGGCTGAAGCACGGAAAGACATCATCCGATTTGCCTGGATCCATATTCGACTGGAAGACATCATCAACAAGTATGGAGCTTACGTGTTGATCAGCTATTTCATCGCTTCATACGAGTCACCGCAGAAAGTCGCGGTACAGATCTATGTTTCACTTCTAAGAGCTCATCAGAACGAAGGAAAAGCCCTGGTTACTCAAGCGCTTGAAATCTTGACACCGGTCTTACCTCAACGGGTTACTCAAGCTGGAGATCCCAAATATCCTCTGTGGGCAAGATGGCCTCGCCGGATTCTGGCAGAAGAGACGGGAAATCTACAACAAATGATCAGTATTTTCAATTTTCTTGTTCGACAAGCAGATTTCTTCTACGAGTCTCGCGAGCATTTTGTGCCTATCATTGTGCCCTCCTTACACAAAATAGCATCGCCGCCAAATCCTTCGAATGAGAGCAAGAAGCTTGTTCTAAGCTTGATTGATCTTATCTCTATTTGGGAGGAAAAAAGAGTGAATATGTTCACGACGTCTCAGGCTACCAGTAGTTTGCCAAGCATGGCCCGCGATACGACTGGTTCTTCTGCTCTTGCTCCTCCATCGACTAAGGAGCGGCCAGAGTATGTTATCCCGCTCGAACTTCGTACAGCTGTTATCAAATATCTCGTGACCTTCATCACTTCCCTGCAAGAGAAATATCCTGTCCCCGCCGCGGAAATGAAGCTAAATGCCATGCAAAAGGCTCAGCAACCAGGCATGTCAAACGATATGTGTGTCAAAGCAATGAAGCTATTGCGGGAGTTGTTGTCGCCACGATTGTGGGCTGATGTGGATATTGATCTATACCCGAAAGTCATGGAGCCAATTCTCGCTAGCGAGAAGGCTGACAAACCGGACGAGAAGCACATAACGAGCATGGTCAATACTCTTCAAGTGTTGCGGGTCATTATCGCAACGAAGAAAGAGGAGTGGATTGTTGCCCACTTACCAGCCATCCGAAAGCTGCTAGAAAAACCGTTAAGAATGGAAAATCTTGAGATTCAAGATTGCCTGCATGCTGAAGATGACGACAAGGTCTCACTAAGGATCAAACCTTTGTTAAGGCTGGTCCTTGATGCCATACCACAAGAACAGCCTGAGGAGGAAGATGCGATGGACATTGACTCTACACCTAATGAGTTCGTGCCCTACCTTTCAAGTATTGCCACCGAAACACTATCTGCAAATAATCTGACGTCCAGCATCACCATTTTGTGGACTCTATCTCGGGTAAGACCTGCAGAGATGGATCAGCATATCCCGAACGTTATGCGAGCTCTCCAACAGTCTTTGGCAAAAGACCATGTGAATGCTTATAGTCCACCTCAACAGATCCCTCAAGGTTATCGACCTGGCGAGCCGAACATGAAACCGGATGAGTTTGCGCTGGGGGTAGATCTGATCAAAAAAACCATTGATCTGCTCTCTGCCCGTATGTCTCATCTAGGGGATCAGAGACGTCCTTTTCTGAGTGTGCTTGCATCGTTGGTCGAAAAATCCTACAACGCGGAACTCTGCAACAAAGTTCTAGACATGGTTGAAAAGTGGATCTTTGATTCCGAGGAGTCATGGCCAACCTTGAAAGAGAAACATGCTGTTCTGCTGAAGATGTTGTTATTTGAGAATCGACCGGATCAAAGCCTGCTCAAACGATTCTTGCAGCTGGTGATACGCATCTACGACGATCCGAAGATCACCAGAACGGAGCTGACGGTCCGGCTAGAACATGCTTTCCTGATCGGTACGCGGGCTGCTGATGTAGAGCTACGCAATCGATTTATGGCGATCTTTGATCGCAGTCTTTCGCGAACGGCAAGCTCCAGACTGAGCTACGTGCTCACATTACAGAATTGGGATACGTTGGCAGAATCCTTCTGGCTGAGGCAGGCTACGCAACTGATCATGGGTTCTATCGACACGTCGACCCCTGCACGATTGCATAACGAAGATTTCAGGGTTCAACCAGTATCCGCATTGTTCAGTACTTCACTTATCAGCAAAGAGCAGAAGAAAGAAGATGTCATGGTCGAGGATGGCCTTGACGCCATCGTTGCAGATCAAAGAAGGTTCAACCAGGAGATTGGAGATGTCAAGGTCCGAGATGTGCTTGAACCTTTATGTCAGCTGCAGCATGTTGATCCTGATCTGGCTTACGACATCTGGGTGAAACTTTTCCCTCTGTGCTGGGCAGCTTTAACCCGAGAGGAACGGATGGATCTTGAGAAAGGCATGGTGACACTTCTCACCCGGGAGTATCATCAAAGACAACTTAATCTGAGACCGAATGTTATCCAAGCACTTCTTGAAGGAGCCGCAAGGTGCAAGCCCAGGTTTAAGGTACCACCTCACGTCATGAAATTCCTGAGTCGAACATACTCAGCATGGTATACTGCAATGGTTTCGCTGGAAGATTCTGCCATTGAACCAATTATCGACACGCCCGCTGTCCGGGAGAGCAATCTGGATGCTCTTGTCGAGATCTACGCTGGTTTACAAGAGGACGACCTGTTTTATGGTACTTGGCGACGAAGATGCAAGTTTGTGGAAACCAACGCTGCGTTATCCTACGAACAGCACGGCATTTGGGACAAAGCACAACAGCTGTACGAGGCTGCTCAGGTGAAGGCTCGTACCGGAGTTGTGCCTTTCTCGCAAGGAGAATATTCACTGTGGGAAGATCACTGGATGATTTGTGCTCAAAAGATGCAGCAATGGGAAATTTTGAGCGAGTTTGCCAAACATGAAAACTTCAACGATTTGCTCTTGGAGGCGGCATGGAGAAATTTTGAAGCCTGGCAGGGAGAGGGTAATCGAGAGCAGCTAGAGACGATGATCAAAGCTGTCTCTGATGCACCAACTCCGAGGCGGACATTTTTCCAGGCATTCATGTCATTGCTCAAGTTCCATGCGAACAAAGAAACCAGAGGAGAATTCAATCATATGTGTGATGAAGCAATTCAGCTGTCTATTCGCAAGTGGCATCAACTACCCAAACGCATCACGAACGCGCACATCCCGATCCTACAGAACTTCCAACAGCTTGTCGAGTTACATGACGCAAGTCTTATCTGCGACAGCCTGCAGCAGACTAATGAACGAAATCTGGACCAAAAATCCCAAGAGTTGAAAATGCTGTTGTTGTCCTGGCGTGATCGGCTACCAAATATTTGGGATGATATCAATGCCTGGCAGGACCTCGTTACCTGGCGACAGCATGTTTTTCAGCTCATCAATTCTACATATCTACAATTAGCTCCACAAGGTCCGGGCAATAATGTCTCGAACAATTCCTTCGCATTCCGCGGCTTCCACGAAACTGCTTGGATCATCAACCGTTTTGCGCATGTTGCACGGAAGCATCAAATGCCGGATGTTTGCATTTATCAACTCAGCAAGATCTATACCTTGCCGAACATTGAGATCCAAGAAGCGTTCTTGAAGCTAAGAGAGCAAGCCAAGTGTCATTATCAAAACAAGTCCGAATTGAACAATGGTCTTGATGTGATCAATAACACCAATCTCAATTTCTTTGGCCCACAGCAAAAAGCCGAATTTTACACTCTGAAAGGAATGTTCTTGGCCAAGCTGGCGCAACGAGATGAGGCGGATGATGCTTTCGGTACTGCGTTATATTACGATTTGAGGCTGCCCAAAGCCTGGGCTGAATGGGGTCAATATTGTGATCGACGGTTTAAAGAAGATCCTTCGGATATGCAAGCTGCCTTCAACGCTGTGAGCTGCTATCTTGAAGCAGCAGGCTTGTACAAAAGTTCAAAGGCTCGGAAATTGCTTAGCAGGATTTTGTGGCTGCTTAGCCTCGACAATGAAGAAGGAAAGATCGCCAGCGCTTTAGAGATCTTCAAAGGCGATACGCCTGTGTGGTACTGGATCACTTTTATTCCTCAGTTGCTGTCAAGTCTTGAGCACCGCGAGGCAAGGCTGTCTCGGTCAATTCTTTCAAAGATTGCCAAGTTGTATCCACAAGCACTGTTCTTCCAGCTCCGTACCACTCGAGAGGAGCTGCTCAGCAAGAAGAAGCAAGCTGAACAACGACAAGCCATCAAGGCCGGACAAGCTGCACAGCAAGGCAAATCAGCATCGCCAGAACGAGGCGGTGATGCTACCTCCTCTTCAAGACCAGGAACAGCTCAGGGAGAATCGGCCGCCAACGGCAATGCTGGCTCTCCCAAGCTCAAGCAGGAAGCAAATGGGCAGGCACAAACTAACGGAGAGGGCGAGAGACCTCCAAGAGAGCCGTTGAAAAAACCGGAAGAGTATGCTGATGAGATCATGGCAGGCTTGAAAACAGCGTTTCCATTACTGGCACTCTCCATGGAGACGATGACTGATCAAATCCAAAAGAACTTCAAGTGTCCTCCCGATGAAGATGCTTACCGTCTCATCGTTGCCCTGTTAAATGATGGTCTTGCTTATATCGGTCGAGCTCCACAATCTTACGCTCAGGATGTCAAATTGCCCCCTGCGACAGAAGCCAACATCTGCAGATTTGCGGAGACCATCCTTCCCGGTCATCTTCGAAAATCGTTTGAAGCCGATTTTGTAAACAGAAAGCCAACCATGTTTGAGTACATCCAGAAGCTTCGAAAATGGCGTGACAAGTTTGAAGAGAAGCTTGATCGAAGACAGCCTTGGATTTCGCTCGAAACCTACAGTCCACATTTAAGCGAATTCCGCTTTCTGAAATTTGATGAGGTCGAAGTTCCTGGTCAATATCTAGAGCACAGAGACAAGAACACTGACTTTACCCGCATTGAACGGTTCATGCCGACAGTAGATGTGGTTCGTGGGATTGGGGTCTGCCATCGTCGGCTGACAATTCGTGGTCATGATGGAAGTCTACATCCTTTCGCAGTACAACATCCTGCCGCTCGACACTGTAGACGAGAAGAACGGATTCTCCAACTCTTCCGCATTTTCAACGGTGTGTTGGCCAAGAGAAAGGAAAGCAGAAGACGCAATCTGTACTTCCATCTTCCACTTATGGTCCCCATCGCTCCCCACATCAGGCTGGTACAAGACGATTCGTCGTACATCACCCTTCAAGGCGTCTACGAAGACCACTGCCGCAAAACCGGCACCAGCAAAGACGAGCCCATTCTCTTCACCATGGAAAAACTGCGCGCCCTAGCCGACAACAAGCAGAACCGAAGCGTTGAACAAATGCAAATCCTACGGACAGAAATCCTCACCGCCATCCAGGAACGCTGGGTGCCAAACACTATCGTTCTTACCTCCTTTCAAAAGATCTACACCAGCTTCGAAGACTTCTGGCTCTTCCGCCGCCAGTTCTCCTACCAATTTGCCGCCGTCACCTTCATGACCTATATCATGCACATCTCGAACCGCTACCCAAGTAAACTTTCCATCTCCCGATCATCCGGCGACTTGTGGGCCTCGGAGCTTATTCCAACTCTCAACTCCACAAAACCGTTCTTCTATAACCCCGAACAAGTCCATTTCCGCCTGACACCTAATATCCAGACCTTAATGGGTCCTCTGGCCATGGAGGGGATTTTTGCCGCCGCGCTCATGGCGATTGCGCGCTGTCTCACCGAGCCGAGCGAGCAGGAGTTGGAGCAGCAGCTTAGTATCTTTGTCAGGGATGAGATGATCCACTGGGCGGCGAATAATAATCGGGTGGGAACGCTTAAGGAGGAGCAGCTTAGAGAGGCGGTGGGCCAGAATTCTGATGGTATCGTGAGGAGAGCGTTGGGGTTGGCGAGGACCCCCGATCAGACTGCCGGTCAGACAACTGCGACTGCTGGAGGCGGAGGAGGAGGATCAGTAGGGGGTACGGGCGTGATTAGCTCATTGCCGGCTAGTCAGACGGTCATTGACATGATCAGTAAGAGTGTCAATCCGATTCACCTGGCGAGTATGGATGCGCTGTGGATGCCTTATCTTTGAGGCCCTGCGGCTGCTATGGATCATGGTACAATGAGCATCGACGGATGAAGTTGTTGGGAATGGGGGCTTCACGGTTCACGGCACGTTCTCTTCTTTCACACAATGACAGAGAGAAGAGCGCTTCTTACGAGTGACGGGAGTCAGGGAACGTGGAATGGAAGGTACTGGTGGTTCTACACCAGATCAAGCTCTTTGTTTTTATTTGATTATCAATTTGACATTTTAGCGTGGAGTCCGTAGCGTGTCTCTTTTTTTCACTCTCAACCTTTCGATGAGAAGAAATACTGGTTTTGGGGAATACTGTTTTTTTGGGGGGCAGGGGAGGGGGGGTTAATGGCTGTCGCTTTTTCTCCAAGTTACATAACTTGAGCAAGCTCGATAGATGTGTGTATGTGTGTATGAACACAGAGAGCTTCCTCTGATTCGAAGATTGGAGTTTGATCGGTATTCAACGTAATCATTCCATAAGGTTTGCTTTGGGTTTAGTCTTATGGGTTTATAGCTTCGCATCATATTGTGGTGATCCGATCCCGATCCAGATCCAGACGTCTTATGATGGGGGGGAAATTGCTATACATCTTTCTTACGTCAGTACGGAGTAAGTTGATCCCTATTGTCCATAAGGAATTATGTATGCTGGGAATCCCGATCTCTTGTGATTCATAAGATCAGGATCAAGATCGTGATGTTTAAGCAATCCAATCCGATCCGATCTCATCATCTTGGACTAAGGCAGTACTTTATATCTATATACTCTTCTCTAGTTCTGAGTTACAGTCAGGAGATGAAGCGGCAATTTACCTAGCTAAGTAATGACTTTTCTGGGTCTGGACTTGAATCAATTTTGTAGGGAAAAATAAATCGAGTTAGATGGATGGTTAGGTGAGGGAATGCGAGATATACATATACCCCTGTTTTACTACCACTGTAGAATACATCTCTTGCTGATCCTGATCCTGATGCCGACCCCAATTCCGAAGGAGAGAATACAATACAATACCCGTTCTTTAACTAACTATATCTATGTGATGGGGTAGAATGAGTGAAGACTGACTAATTATGGAGAAAGAAAAAGGAGAGAGAGAGAGAGAGAGAGAGAGAGGCAGGGAGTTCAAGCACAAGATGAATGATGAGGTGAGTATTCATCTACCCTACCGAGTACCAGGTCCATCTTACTTATCATCTTCGATCTCTGTCGTGTAACAGATACAACAGGAAGGGCTGGCTGATCCAGAGCCTTTAACCAAGTTAGACCAGCAAAAGGAGTCCATCTCTGCGCCTTGCTGTGCTGTGCTGTGCTGTACTATGCTATGCTAGCCGTACCATACTGTACGTATCACCGTATCACCATATTCGTGTCAACCAACCCCCATGCCAAGCGTCGCCGTGCTGCCAGTCTTGCCCAAATCAGTCTGGCCTCGCATTATCCTGTGTTCCAACGCCCAGACACATCTTTTCTGTTCCTTATCCAGACAAACCAACAGACAGGACAGTCGAGAAATCTTTCAGGACCAGGTTTCCCCAAGACCCAATCCGCGCTGGCTCCTCAGATCCAAGCCGAACTCCACCATTAGCCAACGGCATTCATTACTCCACAAAAGGATCCCTCCTCCTCGTAGCCCTCGGACCAAGCTGAGTTGCATTCGCTCTCGTAACCGAACTCGTAGCTGCGCTCCTCGTACTCGCATTCCTATTCGTGTTCACACCACCACCTCGTTCTCTATTCCGATCCCGCCTGAAAACCCGATCCAACATCCCCTCCGCCTGTCCATCCAACCCGCTACTGACTCTCTCTTCGTGAGTCAAAGGACCCACCTCCACTCCCTCATTATTGACTCGACTCTTCCCATATCCCTTCCCCAATCGCTGCTGCGTCCGGGCAAAAGCGTTCCCGCCCATGCCCATCTCCCGTGTCGTCATTCTAGCATTCATCAGCTCGTGCTCCTCCCTCTCCTCCCGCCTCTTACACTCCAGAACGTTCCCGCCATGCCACCACCACTCGCATCGCCACCAAGTACGCGGACCGCTTCGTGCAGTGCTAAGACAGCATCCTGCGCCCGTTCAAGACTGAGCAGGACAAGACCGCGTGTGCTGTGGAGACTGCCGATTAGGTTTCTACCTTCGACCCCACCAGCACTCGTCATACCGGCGGTACTGGGACCACTGACGCTTGAAGTTCTACCCCGGCCAGAATTGCTCCCACCACCAGTACAGATCCTGAGGCATTCGTCTAGCTCGCCGAGGCTCTCTCGGTAGCGATTTAGTCGCCTAAGCGCATGTGCGAGGTTCGCGCGTGTAGCAACCCACGCAGACGGGCTCCAGCCCAGTTCGGATGCGAGATTGAGGGACTGGCGGAAAAGTTGGACTGCAGCTGGAAGATTGGCCTGATGGTAAAGGATTACCGCTAACTCGTTCAGGACAAGAGGATCACCCCCTGTGCCTATACCTGCACTTGTGGCGGGATAGTTGATGCTGGGAGGAAGAACAACGCGTGATCTCTGGGGTTCGTTGTTGAAGTACTCCGCCTGTTCTTCTTCGTCGACGTCTTCCACATTTTCGTCTTCATCTTCTTCTCCAGAAAAGAGCTTCTGATCTGGATTCAGGGAACCGGAGGACATTTGGAATGCCAGGACGCAATGCTCCCAGGCAGTTGTCATGTTGTTGAGGGCGAGGTGTTGCATACCGATGAAGAGTTGAGGAAGGTGTGAGCCTTGGAAGAGCCGTACAGCGGTGCTGTATGCTGCAATGGCTTGATCGTGCTCGCCTTCTGCGGCGAAGGTGTGTGCGAAGCCGATCCATGCTGCTGCTGAGTGCGGGTCCATGAGTGAGGCTTTGCTGAAGAAGCGGCGGGATTCCGGTATTCGATGTGTGGAAAGATAGTAGGTACCGATGGCGAGGTACGTGTAGGGTTCATGGGGAGCATGTTGCGAGAGAGTGTGTGAGAGAAGGAAGAGGGTGGTGTGCGAGGATGTTTCGTGCAGGCAAGCGAGGTGCAGGGGATAGAGATTAGGAGTGTGGCCCAGGGTCGTGGTCGTGGTGTCATCGCCGGAAGGGGTGGTTTGGGAGTTGAGGATGGAAGACGTAATGGCCAGAGCTTCTTGGAAGCGACATTGAGTGTAGAGAGTTTCAGCACGGGACAAGAGGAGGTCTGGGTTGTTCGAGAGGTTGTAATGGGTTGAGAGTGTCTCTGTGGCGTCGGACAACGCTGCCGGAGAGGCGTATTTGGAGAGACGGGTGGTGTAGAGGAGTTTGGTGAACTGTGCAGCTTCTTGAGCCAGTGCGGGATCTTCTGTCCGTATCATTTCGAAATCGAGCTCTTCCAACAATTTGAGCTCTTCATTTGGTTTCAGCAAGGAGTTCTTCATGAGCTGATCAAACGCTTCGAAGCACTGGACATCGATCTTGATGGCTTTGATGAAGCACTCCTTTGCCCTATCAAAAGCGTTTCGCTTCGAATAGCACAGTCCTCGGAGATGGCACATGGCTGCTTCGAATTTGATGTCCTTTTCCAGCTCTCGATCCCGCTCTCGCTCCTCGCTATGCTCGATTCTGTCCTTCCTGGAGAGGGTGTGACCATTCCGTAGAGTGACATGTTTTGTTTTGGTTCCGTTTGAATGTTGAAGCCTCCGTCGGCTGTTATGATCACTGGGAAGGAGATGATCGGGATTCTGTTCGCCTAGAGTAGCAAGAGCCAGTTCATATTTTCCTTGTTTGATGTAGCAGTGAGCCGCGAGATAACGACATGAAGTACTTCGTACTATGAGGCCGGATCGTGATAACAGTGCAAGCGCTCGAGCGAAATTGTTGTTTGAGAAGTGAACTTGAGCCAGCCAAAAGGCATCCTTGTCATCGTCTATTGACCGTTAACAGAGGTACACGACACGAGATGCGGACTCGGTATCGTACTGCTGAGGGCGAGGACTTTGTCTCCAATGTAGATGGCAGCCTCGTTCTGGCCTCTATTCAGAGCTTCTTGTCTCCAACCTCGCAGGTATTTATCCATAGTTGACCAAAATTTGTGGGGGTTGCTGGTTAGGGAAGCGATGGGCAGAGAGCGTGGTGTGAGCCGGAGGAGAGAAAATACGTAGATAGCATACTGGCCGTGTGTAATTCGCCTATAGTGCCCGGTGGTTTGTTTGCCTTCCACCGCATGTGTATCCGCGTCTGCATCTGCGTCTGTGTCTGCATCTGTTTTCTCCATCCACGTGTTGTCACTTTTTGCATGTCGCGGGAGTCGCGACCCAGCTGCACCGACTCCGATTGGCTCCCCAGATGCAGCCCTACCTTGTAAGCTGTGGGCACCTCCTCCCGCCGCGGGCCTGTAACCAGCCCTGTAACCAGCCCTGTAGATCAAAGGCAACGAATCTGACGTTCAGTGGTGGCATATTTCTCCCCTTTTGATTATCATTCAGCACAGCTTTCACGAATAAACTCTATCTCTCTCCGTCTCACTGCTCGCCACCTTACGAGCAGGACGCAACCGACTCGAGAACGCATCTTGGAGAACCTTTAGGTCCTTTGCTGCTATCGTCTCTCCGTCCGCCTGTCCGCCTATCTGCCTCTACCATAAAACGCCTCCTTACCATCCTCCACCTTGCATATTCACATCTACCTGCTTTGCAGTAATTCTTGCACACCCCCACTCAGCATGTCGGAACGGAAAGTTCTGTCGAAATACTATCCTCCCGAGTTCGACCCTTCCAAGCTCACCCGCACCCCTCGACATCTCCGACCCACCGGCCCCAAGCTCATCAAGGTCCGCCTCATGGCCCCTTTCAGCATGAAATGCACCTCCTGCGGTGAATACATCTACAAAGGCCGCAAGTTCAATGCGCAGAAGGAGACCACTGACCAGAAATACCTCAATATTAGCATCTTCCGCTTTTACATCAAATGTACGCGCTGCAGTGGAGAGATCACCTTCAAGACTGATCCGAAGAATATGGATTATACCTGTGAGAGGGGAGCTAAGCGCAATTTTGAGATCTGGAGGGATGGGAAGGGAGATGAGATTGACGAAACAGATGAGGAGCGGCTGGATCGGCTACAAAGGGAGGAAGCCGAGGCGGAAGAAGTGGAAGAGAGAAATGCCATGGCAGAATTGGAACAAAAGATGGAGGACAGCAAGCGGGAGATGAAGATTGCCGACGCGTTGGATGAGATCCGGACAAGGAATGCGAGGATAGAGCGAGGAGAAAAGGGTGGACTTGGTGTGGAGGAAGCTTTGGCAGGAGTACGCGATCAGGTAGAGGAGGAGAGATTAAGGGCAGAGCGAGAAGATGAAGAGATGGCGAGGATGGCTTTTGAGGAGGGTAATCGAGAGAAGGTCCTGTTGGAGGAGCTCGACAAAGAAAAGCTGAAGGGCGGCAATGGAATGGCAGGGGGAGAAGCAGATCGAGCTGCCATGCCACCTCCCAGCTTTGACAGGGTCAAGAAGGCAAGGAAGGTGATGGTGCCAGGCCTGGTCAAGAAGGCCGAACCAAGCAAACCTGCTCCAGCACCGGCACCTTCGCTCGGACTGATTGATTATGGTTCAGATTCGGATTGATGCTAATTATCCTGTTATTTTTGTGACCTTTAGCCAGCGAGCACACCATCATGGTACTCATATCTCATCATGATTTACACAGTTCTTCCAATCCATATTTTTCTAAGTCGCAGAAGTCGCCGTAAGTTTCCAAGCGGCACAAAATCGATAGTACATATTATATGCACAGATGTCACCTTGATATGAAACCCTTCCCCTCCATTGGAGAGAAGAAGATGGGCGATTAACGACGGGTGTCTTCATCTTGGACCTCGTTCTGAGATGCACCTCCAACCAAAGCCAGAAGGACACCTTGTAACCACCACTGCAGCAACATAGTAATACATGCTGAGACTGTGAGCCGCCAAGCTGAGGTTCATGTAGGGGGAGAAAAGAGAGAAAGGGAGGAAGAAAATCGGTGCTAGGTACTTGGAGGGATCACGTGCCTCGCTCTTCCCGAAGCTCCAATTATTTAGCCGAGATGCCGACATCATTGGTCTTCGATTTCCCATTGGAATGACATCTGACAACCCTACAATATCGAAGACGTTGCAGGCACACAACCACCACCACCACCATGTTGCATCAAAGGGCGGTCCAGCAGTCAATACGATGGCGTATGTGTCCTCCCCAGACCTTCAAATCTACCATCGAAACATTACTAATCCCGTTACCAGTCGCTGTAGCCAACCCCTCCACCTTCAACAAGACCACCTCTCTCGCCAGACTCGCCCCCCCAGCAGCCATAGCCACGGGCAGACACATCCAGATCAGGTCAGAAGCAGCCCCTCTTACCTACCCAAACATCCATCCTCCACTCAATCCCGCCTCCCTACCAAACTTACATCTCCGTCCAGACAAGCCGCAACCCAACCCACCAGCCCCTCAGACGCGTACTCGATCCTCGCCTCGCAACGCCTCCACCGGCCCGTCTCCCCACACCTCAAGATATACCGTCCGCAGATAACCTGGATCCTGTCCGCGCTGAACCGCATCACCGGCTCCGTCCTCTCCGGCGGCTTCTACATCTTCGGCGCCGCCTACCTCGTCTCGCCCCTGTTCGGCTGGCATCTCGACACTGCCTCCTTGGCGGCAGCGTTCGCCAGCTGGCCGTGGGCCGCGCAGCTGGCGGCCAAGATGGCGGCCGCGTTTCCGTTTACGTTTCATGCCTGGAATGGGATCAGGCATCTCACTTGGGATGTCGGGGCGGCGTTGAATAATCAGCAGGTTATTAGGACGGGGTGGGTGGTGGTGGGGTTTACTGTTGTTAGTTCGTTGGCGTTAGCTTTGCTTTGAGAGGAGAGGGAGGAGAGGAGAGAGAGGAAGGAAGATTGCGGGTTGGGGAGTGGAGGAATGTGAGCCAGAACGATGCTCTATGGTAACAACGGTAACTTATTTCTGTGGTACAAGTATTGATCTGAGGGTCTAGTCGACCAGTACCTTGAGCGCTCTCACAAGTTCTGGTTGCACTCTTCCTGTCCCTCGTTCTACTACACATGTTCCCGCCTTACACTCAAGCGTCCACTCCAATCTAAGGCAGAACAGCCAAATGCCTTCCCTAGCCCCAGGCCTCCCTATATATATCTCAAATTTATCTGTGGGATATGATTCAGTGTTGAGATAAAGCTGCGAAGGAAAGGATGTGAGTTGACTTCCTGTCGCTAAGGCAACTAGCTATGATACAATGGAAACGAAAGGAGCAACGGTTCAAAGATATTAAGGTTGAGAAGAAGAAAAAGGCAATCAAATCAGTAGAGGTAGTAGTACTCTTAATGTTGAGCCAGCCGTAAGCAAATGGACGTATAGGGGCAGAACAGGAGGTATACTGATGGTGTCAAGGGTGAGAATGGATCAGGTAGGGTGAGCCAAGAACGCCTGGGAGGAGGTCTTCCCTGGTTTGCAGGGGGGCCCGATGGGTGATCGGTGGTGTATGCATGTCATAGAGTCTCATAAGGAGGTGCGAGGAGCTGGGGGACATCAATTTGATCTAGATATTCTCGAGGCACCATAGCGTTTGCCAGCGCAAGCCCTAGCCAGATCGTACTCCGAGCTCAATGAGACGCAGTAATTTCCCAATCCCGCAGCTTACCCGCTATGCTAGCCAAAGACCACAAAGTTCTCAATCTTTCAGTGTCGATCGTTGGTGGCGCTCGTCACTCTGCTGCGAAAAGGCTCGTTGTCATGGTACTGACGAATTCGTCCTTCATTAGGGCTCGGAATTTTCAGCGATGAAGGCGAGATGAGCGGCAGCGTCGAAGCGGGATTCCAAAGGTAAGGCATGAAATGGAGGTCCGACCTGAAGATTGGTTAGGCCCGGGTCGTCTTAGACGTCTGACCTTGAGACTTACATCTTCACCCTCCGCTATGCACAGGCCTGTTCGCTTGCGGGACCGAGTATGGTAAGTCAAAAGAACACTAGAAGAAGCGTGAGCAGGAGCACTCAGCTGGTCAGGAGCAGTGCATTTCACGAATAATGGTAGACCATGCCTGCTGCCAGATTGCTTGCCATCTTCGTCTGAAGACACGGAAGGGTGGCCATGTAACCGTTGATCCGACGATATTTCGCTTTTAAGAAGTGGCAGGATTGGTGGACCCTTCCACAATTGTGACAGAACGCGGTACATTTGGTACGCCGTGCCTCTTTGACCTTGTCGGATATGTAGGGTGCTGCTTGCCTGAAGTGCTTCAAGGTGATGAGTTCACGGAAATGCTGATTCGTGGTGCTGAGAGAGACTGTTGATTCGTAGTCGAGGCGCTCGACAATCTCAAGCTGCAGCTCTCTCGGTAGGGCAAGAAGAGGCATCGTGAATTCCTAGATCGCAAAGCCAAACTAACAAACCAGAAGAATGAGAAGCTTGCGAAAGTCTGCAGCATGTCCAATCTTCGAAATTTCAATCATGAAATATGCCGTCATGCGGCTTGCGCCGGCCTCAACCACGTGAGGTTGTGTTCAGACAATCCGAGAATTGCATGCAGCACAAGCTGTTTAGTTGATTTCAAATTTTTTCTTGTCATCTGGATTCTTTCATCAGCTGAGAAAGTGTTTTGCCTCTATGATCATCACCATATTCTATAAAAGAAGGATGGTAGTTTTGGTGTAGCTGGACAATGAAGAGAGTTCAACTAAGTCGAAAAGCAGTTCTGCACTTAGCACGCAGACTGCTCATAAATGTAACGGAGGCATGTCGCCTGGAGACTGCAATCATCGAACTCTATCTCTGGAGAATCTGTAGTTTGAAAGATATCAAGACGTATAGAAGGTCGTGAACATCAAGAGTAGGCTTCACAGAACGAGTTCATGGGTGGCAACAAGCTTCAGTCTCTAATAGTGCACCCTCACTCACTATTGATTAAGAGTGAGACCATTCGGTATCTGATCAAAGCTACCCTGGGTGTATACAGGGTTCGACCTTATTGAGTTATCACAAGCAGGGGCTTCAACACCTGGGGTATTGGACCTGGACGTCTTAGACGACCAAACATTCATTTGCTTGGAGCTGTAGCCGTGCAGAGTAATTTGCTAAGCATAGGGGCTGATGAGATACACATCGACCTGGCTTTGAGACTCTGAACCCAAATTTTCGTGTAGATTGTCCCGTCTGATCAAAGTCAAGTCAGAAACCGTCCTCGAGGTTGTGCTTTCCAGGCGGCGTTAGATTCTCCATGATCAAAGCAGTTGGCAGGGTTTTCTTTAATCCAGCTGATGGCTCCAGGTACCGGATTCGGATCTGTAGTATTCCTATTTACCAGTAAGGACCAATTTCAACCCAGATATGGGACAATATGAGTGGTGCTCGAGAAGTAATGCAGTACGGTGTACTCCGTAACTTAGTTTCGAACATTTATAAATGCCAAGGCGCATGTGAAACCGATCATGGCATCACCGGACTAAAGCTTATCCGAGACGAGTCTAACAGATTCCTCCCCAAAACAAACTGGTGAACGCTTGGCGGACACGATTATTCGGGCATATATACATTTTTGCGGCTGGAGATAGCCGCACTATCTACGCAGCCTGAGATACCTACTATGGCTCCTTCTCTGCACCCATCTCATGCTAAGTCAGGAAGATCTGCGGGGTGCATATCCTAGATGGTTGAGGACCTAACAACCCTACAGAAATCGTGAGCCTTGCTAAGAAATTCGAACTGCTGTATTCATTTGCGCAGACTCCTTGTTCTTCAAGATATAGCGACAGTGATTCCGACCGCCAATAAAAAAACTTGAGCATTGCAAGCAAGGTGCAAAACAGAATGACTCTATGGATCATTTCTCGGCCCACAGCACCGCCGCGAGGCGGACATTCTCTATCTATATACTCACTAGACCGCGGCAGCCGAGTTCTTGCGTGAGTCGTTATATCCCGCCACGCTCAACCGTGCATTGGCGATGATCTCGTCATCGTTCTCCACGAAGGCCTTGTCACCGAATGCGATGGCAATCTCCTCAAGCGTGTGGTTCGCCGTCTCGACGTAGTAGAAGTACGCCAGTCCAGTCGAGAACAGACAGAAGCCGGATATGATGATGTAGTAGTAGCCGCCAATGCCGGCGAAAGCATCGGGATAAGACATACCGATGATGAAGTTGAAGACCCAATTACTGCAGGTTGCGAGGGCCATACCTTTGCTACGACTTCGGAGCGGGAAGACCTCGGCGGGCAGAAGCCAGGGCATAGGACCCCAGGTGAAACCGTAGGTTGCGTTGTAGAGGACAACGAATGCGTAGATGCCGTTTGCTCTGGTTTGAACATCGAGGTCAGCTTCGGTGAAGGCGCACATGATACCTAGCGCGATGGCCAAGGCGATACCTCCTAAGATGAGGAGTGGACGTCGACCCCATCGATCAGCGAGCCACCAGACGACTATTGTTGCCGCGGTATAAGGCAGGGCATTGGCTGCGGTGTACAGGAGGGACCTCTCCGTGCTGAATCCAGCCGCTGCGAGTGTACTTGGTAGATAGAAGGAGATGATGTTGATACCGTTGAGCTGGGCAAACATTTGAGCTGTAATACCTACGATGGTACGCTTGCGATAGCGTGTGAACATTTCCTGAAAAAGACAATTAGTAATCGATTGGAAGATGTTGTATGGAAAGTCAACATACCTTCCAGCTGGATTGACCTAAAGTCTGTTCATAACGAACAGCCTGTTGGATTTCCATAAACACGCGTTGGACATTTTCAGCGTGAATGTCACCTTTGGAGTGAAGATCGGCCACCGTCTGCAAACTTTCCTTCATGAAGCCATTTCGAGCCAACCAACGTGGTGTCTCTGGCAACACGAAGGACATAGACAGGAGAATGAAAGCCAGACCCATTTGGACGAAATATGGCCCCTGCCAAGATGAGTTGTTTGGAAGTAGGAAGTAGAAGCCATAGTCGACCCAGGTGGAAAGCATATAACCACCAATAAGGAAGGTGTACTCGACTCCGACCATTAAACCTCTCCTGTGAGGAGCAGCGATTTCGGTTTGTATAATAGGCACTGTCATAGAGAGGAAACCAACACCCAGGCCTTGAATCGTTCGACCAGCAATGAAACATGCGAGATTGGGGGCGAAAGCCTGAATGAAAGCGGTGACGAAGTAGATGAATCCACCAATCGCAACACATCTTTTTCTGCCGATGACATCACCCAGGTGTCCTGCAGTTATGGAGCCTATAGCGGCTGACAGTTGTAGACATGCAACGGTGATACCAGTAATGCTTGGGTCGACAAATGCAGCGTCGCCTTCCTCGCCACCATGCTCACTGAAGAATCGTCTCACAAACACCGGATTCACCAGCAGCCCAGAGACGATACCTAGGTGTCATCAGTTATTCATCTGCCCCCGACTCAGTTAAAACATGTCATGTACCTTGATCATAACCAAAAAGTGCATCTCCCAAGCTCCCGAAAAGGCAGGTCATCCATAAAAGCGGCTTTCCGGTAAAGAGGTACCGAGCCTTATAAGTTCTGGGTTTGAGTTTCCTGTCCAGCCATGGAGACTCGCTGGTCACTACATTGAAGTTCTCGACCTGGTTGTTGGTGGCACGAGAATCTCCCAAAGTGCGTTTCTCCATACCTGAATGGTTCTTCCCGTACAAGCGAAGGCGATTCGAGGGTGGCTTTCAGTAGACCGGTTTCTGAGTGACTCCACAAATCCCTGGACTACACTCCGACTCTGGAAGTCTTTATATGCCATGGTCGATCGGACAAACGCTGAGCGATCCGCACTATCAAATTTTGATAGGTACGTTGGCGGAAGGATGACTCTCGAGCAAGCCAGGGCCATCTCGGTTCCGATGTTGGCCCAGAAGATAGAGGCAAACCTATTGACCAGACTCAAGCTCAGAGTCTGTGTAGCGTAGGCGAATGCTTATGCCCCATGCTTGTTACTGGTCTATCTCCGACTTGCCACAAGTGCAAATGGCTGCCAAGATTGAGCTGCCGGAGCTGACATACTAGTGTATAGTTGTCCATTTAAAGTGTCAGCTGTGTTGTAGGATTGGCTCTTGGCCAGCATTGACGCATACACATCTTTGTGTAAGGCTGAGGATGGCGTTCCATTCCCACTTGGTGTCAACCTCCTTGCCTGCTTGAATGGGGCAGGTGGCTCTCCAGCAAGGTAACTAGTCTTGAAACCGAGTGCTGCATTAAGAACTGTGGCTATCTATAATGCTGGAATGAAGAAATCTCCCAGAAGCTGTATAGGAAGTGACCCAGCAACAACAGCCTCCTTTGAGCTCGGTTCTTGCCAGACACAATTTGTGCAGATGATCTTTGCCAAGCGTCGATTGCGTCAGGCATGGCATGAGTGCTGAGCACTGCCACTACTAGGCGAGTGGAAGGATGGATATGCTGTTCGGCGATCCTGGAGCAATTCACTTTCCAGTAACGATAGTTGGTCGCTCAGGTATGAGGCTACGCAGCGACCGTGGGAGTCCTCCAGTAAGGCAAACGCAGGCGACTTAGTACTAGTGCGGCTCGGATCCGAACAGAAACTGAGCAAGGATGCTGCTCCAGAAATCCCCATCCCTCACAATACCGAGATAGTGGAATCCCATATTCAAGCCACTGATGCTGCCTGCACAACGGTTGGCAGCGCTAAGGGCGGTGGGACGCAGGAGAAGAAACGAAGAAACTTCTAGCGTGGGATTTGGAACATTTTAGCGTCTGAACTAGTTACTTGCATCATCGTTTCGTCGGCTCCCGATCAAATGTTCGCGCGGCCCTCCATATCGAAGACCATCATCCTCCGGGGCTGTCATTCGACAGGTCCGGAGGTTGCTGGTACGGGTAGTGCCTAGATAGTGCTAGTTAGCCTGAAAGATCATGCGCCTGGGGCACGTTCATCCTTTAGCCACTAACAATTAATTCTGTGATCTTTCTCCGAATGGAGATAACGGGTGGCTGTCGCCGAGGACACAGGCACCTTAGGCGCTTGTCTCGTAATTGAGGATAGCAGTCGTGACCTGGGACCAACTCCGCGATGTCACCCTCCTGCTAGGGCTTGCAACACTAGGATTGCAGCCCCAGGCTGGTGTTCACTATCTGTTTCGTCTATTGTCCATGTATACTTCAGGGCAGGAACGATCCACAACGTGCTGCTGACCAAAACAGAGCCGAACAGCCGCCTAGTGGCATTTTAAGCCATGCAGCAGGCCTTCAAGAGCTTAGAAGACAATCCACGAAGCAACTGTAAGTACGCTTCATAACCCTGTCATTTGATTCGAGGATTGTAGGACGATGCGCGACAAGTCCTAGAGTTGCAGAGTAACGTACGGTTCTGTGCCATCTTGAAAAACTTTCGCACTTGTGCCTATCCATATCTCCGGTTGGAAATGAGCAAATTTTCGATTCGCAGACAAATGCCGAGCGAAGCGGAGGTAGACGGAAGGCCACTATTGACCGCCCAACCATTCTTGTTACGAGGCTCTGATACTGTGTACCCTGCTGACAGGCGGTCAACGTCGTGTTATTACCATACTAGCATGATAGGTCGGTAACCAATCAGAAGGTGCCGTGCTATCCGAGCAGGAAGGCTTCCTGCACTTGATCACCATCCCAGCGGTAGGACCTTCGTCCGACGCAGCGCCCCAGTGATCCGCAGACTCATTTTCTTGTCCAGGCTTTCATTATGCCTACACGGAGGAACTGTCACAAGATTTGCCCAGTTTCATATTCAGCCGCGTGCAGTAACTCTTGTAGAATAAGCGGCCTAACAGGTTCCGACGTCGAGGTTCGCCAAAGGTTTACGGGATCATCCTATCCCTGGTCAGCACGGTGTCAATGCATACCTGACTGGAGGGGGCAGCCGATACTTCACACTCCAATCCTACAGCATTTGCTTCTGCAATTTCTTCCTAGTATGCTCACTTTCCATCTTCAGGCCTTGGCCTCTTGATTGCTATTTGAAGAGAGAAGCTGCCGTATCGACTGCAAAAATGCAATCAACAAAAAGATAGATGAGAATTCACAACTTTGCTGCTTTTGATGACGCTGAAAAATTCCTTAGCATGTCATCCTGAGATCCTTGTACCAGGTCCTTTCTACTTCAACAACCGATCAACGCTCTTCCTTATAGCAAGAGGAGCTGTGATCATCCGTCGACCTTGATTTGCTGCGGTCGATGTGAGGTATTCAGGACCTCGCGGGACCCTGATAGGCTTCTCTTTGCCCTTGAAATTGCTCCATGAACCAGAAAGATGAAGATACGCGATCCCTAGGACATTTTATTTTCTCTAGAAATATTTCGTCCGAGCCGGGTTAATGGCGGAAGATGCTCTATGCGTAGCAGTTCAGGTTCCCCAGAAGAGTGTTAGCAAAGCTTGACGGGTCAAATGGACTTCCAGTATTGTGAGACTAAGCCTTTCTTCATGATCCAAAAGGTCACACCGATTTTTCCACATAAATGGCCAGATCTTGGAACAGTGCCAAAACGAAGTACAGTACTAGGAAAAAAGTATCCGGCCAACCCCACTTTCGTACCCCACCAACATTATCGACTCTCTTCATACAAATCACCATAGTAAGTTATGAACTCTTTGGATTCTAATGAAAAATAGCTCAAAATGTTCAGAAACATCCAGAGATTGAGGCTGGGCTAATTTCCCGAATAGGCAGTTGATATTCAGAATCTGGTGTACCACCCTTTGGCCGCAATGACCGCATTCACCCTACTATCCATGCTCTTGATGAGATTAGTTATAGCTTCTTCTCCTATAGCATCCCAACCCTCATAAATAGCTCTAAATAATCGTTGATAATCCTGCTCTGATTTGCCCATATTAATTAGCTCTGGGTAGTGATCATT